AAAGGACAAGACAAGCGCAGCCACGTGACCTGATGGGAGAAAAACGCTCATAACGAGCGCTTCCACCCCCAAAACGCGGAAGGATCCGCACATGTGCAGGAAGAGCAGCGGCCGCTCTTCATTCGCGAGCGCCGATGATTGATGATGCTTCCAACCCTCCCACGCCCTTGCTGGCTTGGTAATAGGACCAGACAAGCGCAGCCACATGACCCGACGGGAGAAAAACACTCGTAACGAGCGCTTCCACCCCCAAAACGCGAAAGGACCCGCACATGTGCAGGAAGAGCAGCGGCCGCTCTTCATTCGCGAGCGCCGATGACCGATGATGCTTGCAACCCTCCCACGCCCTTGCTGGCTTGGTAATAGGACCAGACAAGCGCAACCAGATGACACGACAAGAGAAAAACGCTCGTAACGAGCGCTTCCACCCCCAAAACGCGGAAGGATCCGCACATGTGGAGGAAGAGCAGCGGTCGCTCTTCATTCGCGAGCGCCAATGACCGATGATGCTTGCAACCCTCCCACGCCCTTGCTGGCTAAAATGGATTAGACAAGCGCAGCCACATGACCCGGCGAAAGAAAAACGCTCGGAACAAGCGCTTCCCCCCCCCATAAGCGGAAGGAGCGGCACATGTGCAGGAAGTGCAGCGGGCGCTCTTCATTCGCGAGCGCTGATGACCGATGATGCTTGCAACCCTCCCACGCCCTTGCTGGCTTGGTAATAGGACCAGACAAGCGCAGCCACGTGACCCAACGGGAGAAAAACGCTCGGAACAAGCGCTTCCACCCCCAAAACGTGGAAGGACCCGCACATGTGCAGGAAGTGCAGTGGGCGCTCTTCATTTGCGAGCGCCGATGACCGATGATGCTTGCAACCCTCCCATACCTTGGTTGGCTTGGTAATATGACCAGACAAGTGCAGCCACGTGACCCGGCGGAAGAAAAATGCTTGGAACGAGCGCTTCCACCCCCAAAACGCGGAAGGAGCCGCACATGTGCAGGAAGTGCAGCGGGCGCACTTCCTTCGCGAGAGCCGAATGACCGATGATGCTTGCGACCCTCTTACGCCCTTGCTGGCTTGGTAATAGGACCAGACAAGCGCAGCCACGTGACCCGGCGGAAGAAAAACGCTCGAAACGAGCGCTTCCACCCCCAAAATGCAGAAGGATACGCACATGTGCAGGAAGTGCAGCGGGCGCTCTTCATTCGCAAGCGCCGATAACCGATAGTGCTTGCAACGCTCCCACGCCCTTGCTGGGCGTGGGAGGGTTGCGAGCATCCTCGGTCATCGGCGCTCGCGAATGAAGAGCGCCCGCTGCACTTCCTGCACATGTGTAGATCCTTCCGCATTTTGGGGTTGGAAGGGCTCGTTCCGGGCGTTTTTCTTCATCCGGGTCGTGTGGCTGCGCTTGTCTGGGCCTACTACCAAGCCAGCAAGGGCGTGGGAGAGTTGCAAGAATCGTCCGTCATCGGCGCTCGCGAATGAAGAGCGCCCGCTGCACTTCCTGCACATGTGCGGATCCTTCCGCGTTCAGGGGCTGGAAGCGCTCATTCTGGGCGTTTTTCTTCATCCAGGTCATCTGGCTGCGCTCATTTGGGCCTATTACCAAGCCAGCAAGGGCGTGGGAGGGTTTTGAACATCGTCGGTCATCGGCGCTCGCGAATGAAGAGCGCCCGCTGCACTTCCTGCACATGTGCGGATCCTTCCGCGTTTTGGGCCTGGAAGCACTCGTTCCGGGCGTTTTTCTTCCGCCGGGTCACGTGGCTGCACTTTTCTGGGCCTATTACCAAGCCAGCAAGGGTGTGGGAGGGTTGCGAGCATCCTCGGTCATCGGCGCTCGCGAATGAAGAGCGCCCGCTGCACTTCCTGCACATGTGCGGATCCTTCCGCGTTCAGGGGCGGGAAGCGCTCGTTTCGGGCGTTTTTCTTCATCCGGGTCACGTGGCTGCGCTCTTCTGGGCCTATTACCAAGCCAGCAAGGGCGTGGGAGGGTTGCGAGCATCGTCGGTCATCGGCGCTCGCGAATGAAGAGCGCCCGCTGCACTTCCTGCACATGTGCGGATCCTTCCGCGTTTTGGGGCTGAAAGCGCTCGTTCCGAACGTTTTTCTTCATCCGGGTCACGTAGCTGCGCTTGTCTGGGCCTATTACCAATCCAGCAAGGGCGTGGGAGGGTTGCGAGCATCGTCGGTTATCGGCGTTCGCGAATGAAGAGCGCCCGCTGCACTTCCTGCACATGTGCGGATCCGTCCGCGTTTTGGGGATGGAAGCGCTCGTTCCGGGCGTTTTTTCTTCCGCCAAGCCACGTGGCTGCGCATGTCTGGGCCTATTACCAAGCCAGCAAGGGCGTGGGAGGGTTGCGAGCATCATTGGTCATCAGCGCTCGCGAATGAAGAGCGTCCGCTGCAATTCCTGTAGCCCCACAAATGTCTGAGGGGTAAAGGGGAAGTAGGCAAGGGGGAAAGGGGAGTAAGCTGCCTTGCCCATGCTTTTCAAAGGCATGGCTGTAAACCAGTATGGGAGCATGGCGGCCACCTACAGCCTCACGAACGCATGTAGAAAGATGGGAGACATGCGCACAGGCAGGGGGTAGGTGGAGCATTGTTCTCGAGGTATGAATGTGGTAGTGGGCGTATAAGTTGCCTTGCCGACGCTCTTTATGGTTATAGTGTTGATCAAATACGACAGCATGACGCTCACCAGCAGCCCCACAAAGCTGCTTAAGTAGTTGCATCGAACAGATAATATGTTGGTGTGGTTAGTAGTTTGAACCAATCGATGTGATGTCCGTTGCCCTCAGATCATGCAATATGGCCATTTTACCCACATAATCGCCTACATGGCTTCTAATCCGGTCAGTGGATGACGAAAACACGAAATTTGGTTTTGCATAGTTCGTAAAAAAATGTTTGTGAAATAATGGTGTCTCAACCCAGTTGAACGAGTTGATTGGCTGTCCATTATGTTAGCATCCTTGTTAGAGTGAGAATTTTGGATAGGATAGGAATGCCTTAGAGAGTTTGGTAGCGGAATTCTTGTGGTAGGAACTGTGCTTATAATGAATTTAAATGACAAAGTTGATTAAAACATAGATTACACACAGAATATATAGATCTAGCTAGCCATGTACTCTGAGAGGTACATTCCCTTATTCTAACTGTTTTACAAACATTTCTAGAGTGACTCCGACTATTGCACTTCTTCTTGTTACCGAGTCGATGCGTGTAACCGTATAGACGGTTACGCCTATTGCCATTCCTCGATGGTGAGTCAATTGTCGGTCCACATGGTCAACAGTCGCGACAGTTGACTCTTGCGACAGTTGACTCTTGCGACTGTTGACCTTCCTGCCCTTGATTCGAGCTGATCTGATACTGCTACTAGCACTGCTTCGATAATGACGGGTGCGATACAGCTGCACCTACGGAAATGTTAAACTCTATTCCTTTCATACTCCAACAACCCTCAATTTACGTTCCTGTCTAATCCAATTCGCATAACCTTTAAGAGGTGGGATGTAAAGGGATCAACGTCAAATTTGGAGTAGTATTGGTGTAGTGGAGCATAACATATAGTGAATTGGCTGCTGTCAGAGCGCTTCCTGACCGATCAGAAGGCTGGCGGGAATTTTGAACTGAGATGCTCTGACATGGAGCTGAGGTGTGTTGTGGACAATCCCGAAACGCGGGGACATTAGGAAGGTGCATTACACATAGAGCACGATTCGGAACGTTTACGCTTCGGTTCTTAGGGTATGGCACTCACGCTCCGCTGAATCGTAAACCCAACTCGATGCTGTTTTCATGGACCAAGCTCTTCCGCCAGTGAATTCCCAAGGCAAGGCTCAATTCCACAAAAGCTACAGCAGCAGAGCCTATAGATTGGTCATGCTTCTCATGGCTTCTGGTCCGTGGACTGATACTGCGTTTTCTACCACTACCGTATGGCTGCAAATCATGTCGTACCGTATGAACCGCAAGGTTGATCTGCAAAGCATCTCGTTTTGCAAAAACTGGTAACTTGTCATTATTCATGGTTGCCTTGGTGCTAAGCGTCAGCATTGATCGATTCAAGAGTAGCAGTTACCCACGATCGTCACGAGTTCAAGGGTCGTGAGAATAATCGACTTCTCAAGTCTAAGACATCACTAGCTATGTCTTCGCGGACGTCACTAGCTATGAGTTTGCGGACCACCGAGCTCGTGCACGCCATGGCGAGGACTCCTGGCGAAGTTTCCGTTTCTGGAGAGAAGAACATCACTCAAGAGCCGCTGACTCTCGCAGAAATGGAGAATCTGCTCGAGCACATGCTGTCCTACACACACGACGAACAGGAGCAAGAGGTGCGCCTCTTTCTCTCTATCTTGCACGAATTCTCTCCCTCTCTTGTCACATGCTTGTTCACCCTGGGAGCTTAATTTTCCTCGCCGCTGCACATTTTTACAGCTCTTTGCTCCGAATCTTATTGTCGCCTCGATTTTCTTCGTCTCAAAATAATCCCGCATTGTTCTTCTGTCGAAGATTTTCTTGCAGATTTCAGAGTATTCGCCAGAATCTGTTTTTCTTCTGAGCGTTTTTTCCCATAGTCTGACATGCGAGACTGTGAAACAGAAATCTCACCTTTCCTCCGTTTCGTTCGCAGATCTGGGAGTCGCTCGCATCAACTGGGGTCTCTGCGTCCTCCGTCGTCGAATCTCTCCGCATTACGATGGAATCTTCTCAGAAGCCTACCGTCGTCAGGCTCACAGCTGCTGCGGTTTTCCTCAACCTGTTTCTGCTGCCCAACTGCCCCGTTTATAGCATCTTCAATCCGCTCGCTTTTAGCGCAATGGTACAGGCCCTTCGACAGGTTATAACGGGAATTTCCGGTTCCGCAAGTGTTTACACTGATGCGGCGAAGGCTAACGGCGGGAGGAAGAAGAACCATGGGAAAGGAAAAGGTACAAGTAAGCATAGAAAGTCGTCGTTGAGAAGCGACGAGGACGACGAAACGGGCGACATGATGGACGAAGATGGTAACCAGCCGGGTGGCGACGAGACTCAGAGCAGGCTCGGCGTGACTCTGCTGTCTGTCCTGGGTTACCTCTCCCAAGCACTCGACGTTCTGAAACTGGCGAATCAGAGCGAAACACGTAAGTCCCTGCTGGGGATGCTCGTGGAGGCCACACGATTTTCGCTAGACGATCAACAGCGGGTGGAGGGAGGCAGGAAGGGATACGCCGGTGCTGATCGGACGAGGGTTTCGGTGGGCGGAGGCCGGACGGTGGAGGCCTGGAGACTTCCGTACCGTATGCTTCTCAAGGTATATCCGTACGAGTGCTAAAGTAAATTGTTTATCTGTTATCTCCGCCAGTAAGGTTCTCTCCTCTTCAAGGGAATTTGTGTGCCATTGTTGATCTGTTTTCCTTGAAGTCGATAGGTACCCGTCCCCTGTCCAACCACTCGTTTCCCCCTGTACGTCCCACTCGTCTCCCCCTGTCGATGCACACCCTACCTCCAGTTAACGGACCCGCAGCATGGCAAACCGCTTGACACAGCCGCTTGTATCCTCTTGGCCATTGGCCCGCACATCCTCATGACGCACGCTGACGTCACCGCCACCAGCAGCAACAGCTCGAAAGCTCCGAGCCTGGTTTCCCCCTCGCTGCTGCGGTCCCGCGCCCTCGATTTTGTCACATCCGATATTCTCACGAAAGCGCCAAAGGAGAGTGTCCCCGCGGTTGAGTCTCTGATGCGTTACCTGTGCCTGCATGCGCCAGAGAGAGCGGAAGGGAGGGCGGCGGCGGTGGAAGCGGTTATGAAGGTGTACGAAACGGTGGGGAGGAAGGAGAGGGAGGGGTTTTTTCTGTTCGTGGGGAAGCTGGCGAGGGTTGATAGGGCAGCCGCGAGGGTGGTGGCTCTGGATCTAAGTGCTGCTCTGGTTGAACGGATGGCAATGACGTGGGGGAGAGGGGTAAGGGGGCAAGGGAGCATGGGGTCGGGGGCTATGGAAGAGGGTGGTGGGGGTGGGAGTCGTGATGGGGAAGGGGGGGATCCGGGGATTGAGAAGGGGAGTGGGGAGGCAGCCAGTGGGGAAAGGGGGACTGAGTCTGGGAGGGAGGGGGGAGATGGAGAGGGCGACAAGGGGGATGAAGTGAGTCTGAGTCAGGGGTCAGCTTCGGAAGGAGATGCTCACAGTGGCAGGGAGAGTGGAAATGGCACGGGGGTTGGGAATGACAGCAGAGAGTCTGGGGATAGCAGCGGGAATGGAAGCGTGAGAGACGTTCTGATCAGCCGTGTTGGCGGCTGTTTGGAGCTCATGTTTCGTAGGGCCTCGGACGCCAGTCCCACTGTGCGCGCCCGAGCCCTTGTGGCGCTCACTGCGACCCTTCGGATTCTGAAAGGACGCCCTTCGCTCCTGGACGCTGTACTTGCTGCTCATGCTCATGCTCATGCCCATGCCCATGCTCCTACTCATCCTCATACTCATGCACAAGCCGAGCCTGACGCAAGTATTGGCCGTGGGTCCGGGCTGAGTGGGGAATCGGAGCCTGGAGAAGCATTGGGAGCTGGGACGGGTGGGTCGGTTCTGAGCGTTGAGGAGGTGTTGGGCATGGTGAGGAGGCGTTTGGAGGACGAGAAGGGGCTCGTGCGCAAGGCGGCGGTGGGGGCTCTGGAGGAAATTGTTGGGCTGTCGAGGCTGCCGCTGAGAGAAGAACTGGTGGATGCCATTGGGGAGCTGTGCTCTGACTCGCTGCTGAGTGTCCGGAGGGTGGCTCTCAACGCGTTGTCAAAGGTACGATCACCATAGGCCACCATAGGCCAACAGTTACTGAGGGAGGAGCTGGTGGATGCCATTGGGGAGCTGTGTTCTGACTCGCTGCTGAGTGTCCGGAGGGTGGCTCTCACGGCGCTGTCCAAGGTACAGTCATCACAAGGAGAACCAGTTTCTGGGTTCAGCGTTTGCCTTGCATCCTTGAGCTCCTTGTTATGCTGTGTGATGTCCGGTTTCTCGCCTTCTCATCTCCTCTTCTCCGTGGTTTCCTTCCCTTCACTTCCCTTTTCTTCCCTTCCCTTGTCCATTCAGTTGACAATGTCAAACCCTGTCTCCAGTCCAGATCTGAAATCCTCTCCTCTTCCTGCTTCCATTTCCTTCACCCATTCGCCGCCCTTGTCCTCTCAGTTGACAATGTCCAACCCAAGTCACGTGTGGCTGCGATCCAAGTGGCTGAAGTCTGCGCACGTTCTCATTTTAGACAACGAGCCCAGTGTGCAAGACCAGGCGCTCGACCTCCTTGTTGAAGCCAGTGTGTTCCATTCTTTCCTCCCCTTCTCCTTATCTTTGTCCTCTCAGCTGACCATGTCAAACCCAGGCCACGTGTGGTTGCGCGCCAAGTGGCTGCAGTCCGCGCTCGTTCTCATTCTCGACAAGAGGCCACTGTGCAAGACCAGGCGCTCGACCTCCTCGCCTTCTCATCTCCTCTCCTCGTTCCTCCTTTCCTTCCCTTCCCTTCTCCCTGTGCCCTCTCAGTTGACCATGTCAAACCCAGGCCACGTGTGGCTGCGCGCCAAGTGGCTGCAGTCCGCGCTCGTTCTCATTCTCGACAACGAGGCCACTGTGCAGGACCAGGCGCTAGACCTCCTCTCCTCCCTGCTCCTCCAACCCCTCGGCCTCATCTCCGCGTCTCCCCGCCCCTCTGCGGCTTCGAGGATGAGTCTGTGCAAGGATAGGCCGCTGCACGTGTGTGTGGGGAGGAGGGGGGTGCCTCCTGCCCCTGTGCTCTGTGAAGGGGAGGGAGTCTGTGAGGTGTGTGGGCGGGCCGCTGGGGGAGAGGGTGCTGGAGCAGCAGGAGGAGGAAACGCAGCAGCAGGAGAAGCAGGAGCACCAGTAGTCGCTGAAGGGTCAGTGCGAAGTGTAGTGGCGTGGCTGATGGCGGTTGGGCAAGGGAGCTCGTCGGTGGTGCCGCTGCTGCACCGCGCATGTGCGGTTCTGGCAAGGCGAAACGCGCTCCACGCGAGGCTCGTGGAAGGGCTGCAGGCGGTGATTGAAGCAGCCGAGGGATGGCAGAAGGTGCAGCAGCAGCAACAGCAGCAGCAGCAGCAGCCGAATGAGAAGGGGGGTTCAGTAGGAAAGGCAGCAGGTGTGAAAGGGGGCAGCCCCAGCAGGGTGTGGAGGTGGGTGGTGAGGGGCGCGTGGCTGTTACTGCTGGAAGTCACCTCCTTCTCGCCCCAGGGGGTCAGATGGGAGTTTCTGATTTCCAGATGGAGGGACGGCAGGAAGCAGCAGGAAGCTAGAGCTGCTCGTCCTGAGTCGGTCTCTGCCAAACCTGCTCTTGATCACGATGCTGCTGAGAGTGCAACTCCAGGTTTTGGTTCCAGGGACTTGGGCGGACAGGAGAGAGGAGCAGGAGTTTTGCACGGGCAGGTAAAGGAGGCAGAAGTGCTGGACGGGCAGGAGAGGGAGGCGCAAGTGCATGTGCTCAAGGCTCTCTGCAACGTTGCTGCACGGATCCCAGGGGAGAAAGCTGCTGACGTGGCAGCAGGGTTGCTGCACAACCTGCGGAGCTTCCAGCTGTCCCCAGAAGAGGTGAGGCGCTGCAATTGGCCCGGTTTGTCCTGTTGTGGAGTGTGTCAGAGCATGCTGGTTGCCCCAGGCTGCACCTGCTTACTCGTTTTGGGATACAGCCGCTCTCTACCCCTTAGCCACGCCAGCCCTTTATGACGCTCTAGCTGTGCCCTCTCCAATATCGTGAGAGTGCACGGCCATCTAAGCTAGCAGAATCCTTTCGCTGGTCTGGCAGCACTTGTAAATGGGATGATTTTCCATTTTTGCTTTCTGCAACTCAGCTTAATCTGTCCCCGTTGTTTCCTTGCAAACAGGCTGGGGTGCACATGGTCGCCCTTGCCACTCTCAACCGACATGCAGCCACTGGCAGCAGGAGCAGTGGCAGAAGCAGCGGCAACAACAGCAATAACATCAGCAACAGAAACAGCAGCAAAAATAGCAACAGCAACAACAGCTACAGAGGTCACAGCAGCATTCCTGTCCCGGGAACTGGTGGAGCAGCTGAAGCAGCACCTTCTGTGAACGAATCACCGGAAGCAACCATTGCTGCTTGGTGCCTGGAGCTGTGCCGGCAAGCCACAGCGATCATACAATCCCAGCTCAAAGCAGGTCAAGGTTGGCAGGGGAGCCCTGGCCAGAACAGGGAGGAAGTGAGGGCGCAGCAACAGCAGCAAGGAGAGGAGGAGCGGGAGGAGCAGGAGGGGCAGCCAGAGGAGGAGGATGAGGCGAAGGAGGAGGAGCAGCAGCAGCAGGAGGAGCTGGAGGAGGGGGCAGACGGGCAGCCTTGGGGGCAGAGGGTGGAGTGTGCAGTGTTTGTGTGCGGCCAGCTGGCACTCATTGCTGGGGAACTCGCAGAGACACTCGCTGTTGCTGCTGCTTCAGGCGCAGCCACTGCTGGGGCCGCCGCTGCTGGGGCTCCCGCTGCTGCTGCGACTGCTGCAGCTGTGGCTGGTGTTGATGGTGACAGTGGTGGCGATAGAGGTGCTGCTGCAGGTGGGAGGCAAGGGTGGAGCGGGAAGAGCAAGGGAAGAGGTGGGGCCAGCAGAAGGGGAGCGAGTGAGTGTGAGCAGCTGGTGTTGCTGCAGAGTGCGCTGAAAGAAGCATTTCAGTGCCTTCTGGAGCTGCTTCTGGGGAATTCCAATTCCTCAGCGGCACCACCAGTACCCGTTGCTGCTCCCGCCGCTGCAACCAACCCTGGGACTGCAGCAGCAGCAGCAAAAGGAGCAGCAGCAGGGGTGCGGGTGCCAGTGTTGGCGCATGGGTGGCTGGCTCTGGGTCGCTTCTCTCTGGTGGACCACTCACTCGCCAAGACCTGCGTGCCGCTCTTCGTCCAGGCAAGCATCAACCTCCTCCTTTGCTGTTTTCCCTTCCCTCTGTTTCAGTGCAGATTGACGGGTCCTCCAGTCAATCTGCAACAGCCTGGTATGCGCTGCACCACTCTCGTCAGCCACCACGTGCTTTCAGGCCTTCCAAATATCTCCCGACCTCTCAAACCTCTCCCAACCCTCTCCCAATCCTCTCCCAACCCTCCTCCTGAACCCAACAGGAGCTGCAGCGCAGCCCACTCCCGTCAGTGCGCAACAACCTGGTGGTCGATCTCACGGACCTCTCTGTGCGCTACACTGACCTCACGTGGACCCCCACGTGTCCTGCATCTCCGCCTGCCTCCTAACGACCTCCCAACCCACTCCTAACCCACTCCCAACTTATTCCCAATCCTCTCACAACCCTTGCACCCAACAGGAGCTGCAGCGCAGCCCACTCCCCTCAGTGCGCAACAACCTGGTCATCATTCTCACAGACCTCTGTGTGCGCTACACCGCCCTCGTCGACCCCCACGTGCCCTGCATCTCCGCTTGCTTGCGCGACCCCTGCGAGCTCGTGAGGCGGCAGACGCTCGTGCTGCTGGCGGGGCTGCTGCAGCGGGACTATGTCAAGTGGCGGGGAGCGCTGGTGCTGCGCGTGCTGCTGTGTGTTGTGGATGAGTCTCAGGCGATAAGAGAGGTGGCTCTTTACCTCTTCACACATGTCGTTCCTCGTGAGTCAAAAAGAGGGTAAATGGGCTTGGGAGGGGTGGGGAGGGGTTGTGTGAGTGGAGTGTGGGTGTTGGCAGGGCTACTGCAGAGGGAGCATTTGAGAGGGAGAGGGATGAGCTGTTGCTGCAGTGGTGCACATGCTGCTTTCTCGATTGTGGACGGAGTCTCAGTCACATGTTGCCCAAATCAGTCATGGTGATTATTTGCGATTCACCGGCACCTATCCCCACCCTTACTACAGCTTCTTCATGTATAGCCCTCTTTGCACCTCAATTCACACATCCGTTGCCCCAGTGCACCTACACCCGCAACCCCGTTCCATCTCTCTCCACCCCTCTCCACACCTCTCCACCTCTCTCCACCCCTCCACGGGCCGTGTGCCCCTCGCGCCCTACGACATATTCATTAAAGCCTTCTTTACTCTCAACGCCTGCCCCTTCGCCTCCTCCTCTACCACCATGGCTCTGCTACATCCCTATTCAACCCTCTCCACCCATCTCCACCCATCTCCACCCTCTCCACCTCTCTCCACCCCTCCACAGGCCGTGTGCCTCTCGTGCCCTACAACATATTCATCGAAGCACTCTTTGCACTCAACGCCTGCCCCTTCGCCCCCTCCTCCACCACCACCGCCCCGCCTCTCCCCTCCTCCGGCCCTCGACCCTCCTCTTCCAGCCCTCCCAACCCTGCCTCAGCCTACCCTAGCTCGTCCAATCCTGGCTCCTCCGAAGCTGCCCCCTGCGACCCATCGCAACCCAAGTGCCCCGATTCAAGTTCTCCCGTCGAGGGCATCCAGGAGGAGGGGTGGTCGGGGAAGAGAAGGGGGCGGAGTGGGAGGGGCGCAGGGGCAGGGAGGGAGGGCTTGGACGAAGAGCTAGAGCGGTTTTCCTTAAGGTGAGGGGAAAGACGGGTGTTTGCCGCGTGTCGGCCCTTCCTGCTTCCCTGTTGGTGCTTTTGCCTGCACCTGTGTCCATGCCCAGTCCACCTATCCCACTCTGCTTGTTGACTGTTATTGTTCAAAAGTTTTCCCATTCTCTCCCCTCTCTCTCTTCTTCCGTCTTCTCCCCCTGTATTCTGTTCACCTTCTCTCATTTTTAACCTACAACCTTTCTCCCCATGCATAAAAAAATTGCTGTGTACCTGGCACCTGGCACGTCACAGCAAAAAATTGCTGTGTACCGCACTCCCCTTCGTGTCTTGTGTGTTCTACTGCCTCCCCGTCTATTCCCCTCCATCCTTTATCTCCCAGCGGTCCATCTCGCCATGCTGCACGAACCACTGTGTACCTCACTCTACTCCGCCTCATGGCTCGAGAGCACCATCTCGCGCTCTCTGCCAAGCTCTGCCTGCAGGTAAGGCCTTTCCCCACATGGCCCATGCAACCTTGCTCTGGCTGAGTCAGCTCACATATCCAGCGGGGATATGGTCAAGGTGAGCTTGATACATGTGAAGTGGGCAAGAGAAGGTGAGTCAACACATGGCACACGGAGAAGGTGAGTCAACACACGGGGAAGGTGAGTCAACTCATGGCACATGGGGAAGGTGAGTCAACACATGGCACATGGGGAAGGTGACTTGGAGGAAGGTTGAACTCCTAACCATTTCGTCACCTCTGCCATGGGCTCAGCTCTGCTTCTTATTCTGGCCGAGTCGGCTCCTTTATTGGCACTGCTGCCACAGGCTCAGCCCTGCCCCTTATTCTAGCCAAGTCGGCTCTGCTGCCCGGAGGGGATAAGGCTAAGGTGAGCTTGAGGCACGACTTGGTCCGCGCGCGCGCCTTGGTCCCGCGCGCGCCTTGGTCCGCACGCGCGACTTGGTCCGCGCGCGTGCCTTGGCCCGCGCGCGCCTTGGTCCGCACGCGCCGTGGTCCGCGCGCGCGCCCTGGTTTACGCGCGCGCCCTGGTCTGCGCGCGCACCTTGGTCCGCGCGCTGACGCGCCTTGGTCCGCGCGCGTGCCTTGGTCCGCGCGCTGACGCGCCTGGTCCGCGCGCCACGGGTTCCGAACCTCTTCCGAACCTCTTCCTTACCCCTGAGTTCTGGCGCCCTTACTAGACAGCGCGCTACCTCTCCCCTGCCCCTCGGTGCAAGCCGTCGTGGGGGACGCCCTAGACGTGCTCTGATGCAAGGAGATGCTCTCCTCCTTCCATGTCCTGCCTGCCAACCTCTACCCTACCGCTACAGGTGCTCGCGCCCTTACTGGACGGCGCCCTGCCTTTCTCCTGCCCGTCGGTGCAAGCCGTGGTGGGGGACGCCCTGGACGTGCTGTTTAGGTTGGGTAGCAACGCTTCTATTCCACACTGCTGTCTTGCCTGTGAACCTCTCCCTTGCCAACAGGTGCTCGCGCCCTTACTGGACGGCGCCCTGCCGCTCTCCTGCCCCTCGGTGCAAGCCGTGGTGGGGAACGCCCTGGACGTGCTCTCATGCAAGGAGATGCGCCCAGGCTCAGGCAAGGCAGCAGGCGCGGACGAGGACGGTTCTTGAGGCGCCTAAAATATTCTCACACTGCTCTATCCTGCCTGTCAACCTCTCCCCTACCTCTACAGGTTCTCGCACCCTTACTAGACGGCGCCCTGCCGCTCTCCTGCCCTTCTGTGCAAGCCGTGGTGGGGGATGCTCTGTTTGAATCTGGTTGCAGCATCCCTATTCTCACACCACCTTATCCTGCCTGCAAACCTTTCCCCTACCAACAGGTGCTCGCGCCCTTGCTAGACGGCGCCCTGCCGCTCTCCTGCCCTTCTGTGCAAGCCGTGGTGGGGGATGCTCTGTTTGAATCTGGTTGCAGCATCCCTATTCTCACACCACCTTATCCTGCCTGCAAACCTTTCCCCTACCAACAGGTGCTCGCGCCCTTGCTAGACGGCGCCCTGCCGCTCTCCTGCCCTTCTGTGCAAGCCGTGGTGGGGAACGCCCTGGACGTGCTCTCATGCAAGGAGATGCGCCCAGGCTCATTCAAGGCGGCAGGCGCGGACGAGGACGGTTCTTGAGGCGCCTAAAAAATCCCCACACTGTTCTATCCTGCCTGTCAATCTCTACCCTACCTCTACAGGTTCTCGCACCCTTACTAGACGGCGCCCTGCCTCTCTCCTGCCCAACGGTGCAAGCCGTGGTGGGGGATGCTCTAGGCGTGCTCTCATGCAAGGAGATGCGCCCAGGCTCAGGCAAGGCGGCAGGTGCGGAGGAGGAAGGCGAGGAGGAGGCAGGAGGAAGCGCAGGCGGGGTTACAGGGGGAGGAGGTAGCAGTGGTGGCGGGAGGGCAGGAGGAGGAGCAGCAGGAGGAGGAGCTGGGGCGTTGGCGAATGCTTTGAAGGGGCGGGTGGTTACTCAGCTGATGAAGAAGAATCTGGTCGAGAACACCATTCCTGTTCTGATCGAGCTCAAGAGGCTGCTGGAGGCTCGGAACAGCCCGCTGCAGGGGGCGCTGATGGCGTGTCTGCGGTGCTTGTTCAAGGAGTATAAAGAGGAGATTGAGGACTTGCTAGCAGCGGATCCGCAGCTGGGGAAAGAGCTTGTGTATGACATTCAGAAGCACGAGGCTGCACGGGCTAGAGCTGCTGCTGCTGCCAGGGCTGCCGGTAGTGATTCTGCTGGTGGTGTTGGTGGTGGTGTTGCTGCTGCTGGTGTTGGTGGTAGTGGTGGTAGTAGTGGAGGTGAAGGGGAAGCTGCTGCAGCTGCTGCAGCTGCTGCTGCCACTGCTGCCGCCACTGCTGCTACACCTGCTGCTGTGGCTGCTGGTGCTGCTGAAGCTGCTGATGGTGCAGCAGTGGCGAGAGAGGAGAGTGGAGAGGAAGGGAGTGGAGGAGCGGAAGCAGGGGCAAGGAGAAGGAGAGAGTCAGCCGAGTTTCAAACTCCAACCAAGGACAGAAATTCAGCAGGTGGCAGTGATGATGCTGCTGCTGTTGGCACTCCTGCTGCTGCGGCGGCTGCTGCTATGGCATCTACTGAGAATGCTGCTACAGCTTCTGCCTCTGCTGGGGCTGCTGCTGCTGCCGCTGCTGCTGCTGCTCACTCCAACGGGCTATCTGCTAGCACGCTGTGCAGCCCACTCTTTGTCACTCCCAATCCTCCCAGCCGGACCAGATCTCAAAGCAGAAGCAGGCTCGGAGACGAGAGGTTTAGCAGGAGCGGGTTGGCAGGTACAGAGGAGGAAGGGGAAGGGCGGGGAGAGGAAGAGGAAGGAGAGGAGCAGCGAGAGGAGGAGCGAGCACGAGCAGCAGTACAGGCAGCAGCGACTGCAGCAGCTATTATTAGGGATGTGGAAGGGCATGGGAACAAGACGCCTATCCTGAGAACTGTTAGTGTGCCGAAAGTGAGAGAGAGGAGGGGCGTGGGGCGTGGCAGGGGGGCACAGGAGGAGGATGGGGATGGAGTGGGGAAGGGGAGGGTTGGTGGTGGGGGGAGTATGAGATTTCAGGAGAGATTGACGAGGGAAGGGGGAGAGGTTGGTGGAAGGGGTTGTGAGAGTGAGGTGGAGAGGATGAGAGAAACAGAGGAGGGTGAGAGTGAGGAGGCGGGCTTGTGTGGGAAGGATGGAGAGGGAAGGGGTCGGGGAAAGAAGAAGGGGGGTGTCATGAAGGAGAACGATCAGTGTGCAGCAGTGGAGAAAGGAAGGGTTGGAAAGGGTAGGAAGGGAGAAGCAGCAGATGGGAATCAGCAAGGCACGGAAGGAAGATGGAAGGGAGGATGTGAGACTGAATCTGGAGCCAGAGAAGGCAGGGAGAAGGGGTACAGAGGGGTGGTGCAAGGTGAGGAGGTGCAGGGGAAGGGAGTGGGAAGGATCATGGGGGAGGATTTGCCACCACGGCGAGCCACCAGGCAGTCAGCAAGAGTCAAGTGATAGAGTGGTGTAGTTTCAGTTGTTTATTGCTCAGGACAGGAGGGACAGGTGAAGAGAGCGGGAAGGAGGATGGGGGAGGATCTGCCCTCAAGATTATAGAGTGGTGCGTTTCGATTGCTTCATGCTTTAGGAGGGAGGAGCAGGTGAGGGAAGTGCAGAGTAGGATGGGGAAGGATCTGCCATCAAAGCGAGCCACAGAGCAGTCAGCAAGAGTCAAGCGGTAGAGTGATGAGGTGGAATAGTTGGTTGGAAGCCAAAGTTGTGCGTATCGTTGTGTAAAATGCTCATGTTCATGTTCATGTGCCTATCGACCTTAACCCTGTTGCAGGGTGTCTTTTATGCAATCCGTTGACGCCAATACTTGAGTAACTAATACATAGGTCGGTTTCCATGGAAATACAGAGGTATCAGAACCCAGCCATGTGAATACTGGCAGGTAATAATACAAAAAAAACGTAACATTAGCTTGTTACAAGCAGTCATGGCAAGAACGAAATGAGTCTCATTCTGCATTTCCTGCTGTGACGCCACGTCAGCTCCTTGGAATGTAGAATGCACATCATCCTCTTCTCCTTGCTGCTACTTTTGCTGTGTGGTGGCCTTTTTAATCAGCTCCATCCATCTGCTCGCTGTGTGAGGCACCTCCAAAGTGTGGTAGCTTTGTTTGGCTGGTAGCAAGTAGCCGGTACTGGTGGCTATTTTTGTCGTGTGGTGGCCTTCTTAATCAGCTCCATCCACCTGCTCGCTGTGTCTGCAGCAGCCTCTTTCAAGCTCCCCACCTTGCTGCCGCTGCTCCCACCATCACCCTTGCCTTCCCCTGCGCTCCCTTGCTTTCTTCTCTTCTTTCTCGGTCCGTCTGCCTCTGCTGCTTTGCTTTCACCAGCATCTGCTCTTGCTGCGCTCTTGCCCTCCTCGGGTGCCTCCTGCTTCCTCTTGCTCTTCTTCCCCGTCTTTGCTTCCACATCTGCTTGCCCCTCCTTCCCATTCGCGCTCTTCTTCCCCTCGTTCCCCTTCTTTTCCTCCCCCTCCTTCCCCTTCTTTTCCTCCCTCTCCTTCCCCTTCTGCTTTCCTACTGTCTCTTTATTCGTCTTCTCCTGCCTCTCCTTTTTGTCATCCTCTTCTCTTTCTCCTCCTGCTGCTGCTGCTGCTGCAGCAGCTGCCACCGATACAGCCATCGCAGATTCTGCCACTGCTGCCGACACATGTCCATTCCCTCCCTCCCACGGGCTCGGCATGGCGTCAAGTTCCTGGAAGATTCTCAGCGACACAAACGCGTCTGTTGACGCGTAAATAAGCTGGGCATCAGTAAGAGGGAAGCCCTCCCAGTTGCTGCACTGGACTCTCTTTGGTTTGGCGAGCTGCAAAGGTTAGGAGGGAGAGAGGTGTAAAAGGCATGGCGTCAAGTTCCTGGAAGATTTTCAGCGACACAAACGCGCCTGTTGACGCGTAGATGAGCTGGGCGTCTGTGAGAGGCCCATTTGCTGCACTGCACTCGTTTTGGCTTGGCGAGCTGCAGTTGCAGTGGAGGATGCGGTTGGGGTGGGGTTGGGGGTGGGAGGTTGGGGGGAACAGGGAGGGAGAATTGAAATGCATCTGTTCAAGCGTAGATCAGCTGGGCGTCTGTGAGAGGAAAGCCCTCCCTGTTGCTGCACTGCACTTTTTTGGCTTGGGAAATGTAAAGGCATCTGTTGAAGCGTAGATGAGCTGGGCGTTGGTCAGAGGACAGCCCTCTCAGTTGCTGCACTGGACTCTTTTCACTTGTGCATGTGCGTGATGTAGACTCATTCCACCCAGCAGCACACCTCACCTCCTTCTGCAGCACAAGGCGGGTGAGAGTCTCGAGTCCCACCATCTGCCGAGGCAACCTCTGAGTCCACTCACAAGCGCATTCCCAGCCGAAAAGCCGCCTTAATTCTTACCTCTTTCTGCAGCACAAGGCGGGTGAGTGTCTTGAGCCCCACCATTTGCCCTCCATCCGGCACCACTGCCTTCTCCTGAGCCAGTGGTGAGCAGTCCACCAGCCCGTTCACCTGCGTATGTGTACACAGAACCACACAGCAAACACACACAGCAGGTAGGCACACACACGTGGATGAATACACAGAGGCTGGTGAGCATGAGTGTCTTGAGCCCCACCATCTGCCCTCCATCCGGCACCACTGCCTTCTCCTGTGCTAGAGGCGAACAGTCCACCAGCCCATTCACCTGCACAGAAACACACACAGCACGCACATGCAGACGCACAACAGGCGGGTGAGCGTCTTGAGCCCCACCATCTGCCCTCCATCCGGCACCACTGCCTTCTCCTGTGCCAGTGGTGAGCAGTCCACGAGCCCGTTCACCTGCGTATGTGCACATGTGGACGAATTGAATACACGCACAAGCGGTGGGCGAGTGTCTTAAGTCCCATCATCTGCAGTCCCTCTGGCTGGCACCACAGCTTCCTCCTGTGCTAGAGGCGAACAGTCCGCCAGCCCATTCACCTGCCAATGCACATGCAGAAAGACACACACGCAGCATGCACAAGCGGAGGGTGAGCATAATTGCCTTGAGCCCCACCATTTCCTGAGTGTCAAAAACAAGGACGTTTTTTTGCCCAACCTCCTCTGAGCAGAGAGAAACAACAGTCCACCAGCCCACTCACTTGACCATTCACCTGCCCACTCACCTCCCACTCACCTGCTCATGTGCATGCAGAAAGACACACGTGCATACAAACACGAGCCCATACACCTATGTATACGAACACAGGTGCATAGCCACGGTTGCACGCACAAACAAGCCGACTCTCCCCTCCCACCCACCCACCCACCCACCACTACTCACCTCAACACCGAAATCTTTCCTCAGCTTCCGGCCGTCCTCTGTCACACCTACACCTGTCTGCACGGGCAGAAGGGAGAGGAGAGGCACGAGAGGAGAGGCACAAGAGGAGAGGAAAGAGAGGAGAGGAATGAGGAGAGAAGAGGGAAGGAAAGGGCAGGGACGAAAGGGGAGGTACGAGGGGGGGTATGAGCGGAGGGATGAGCGGAGGGATGGACGAAGGAAGGGCGGAGACGAGAATGGAGAGGGGTCTTTGGAACTCGCACTCGCCTTGACCACGCTGGCATCCTTGAGCCACGCGTGCAGAGAAGAGGGAAGGGGGAAAGCACGTAGGGATAAGAAAAGAAACGCACATATGCATGAGAGAAGGCAGTGCAACTCACTGACCTTAACCACGCTGGCATCCTTGAGCCACGCGTGCAGAAGGGGGAAGGGGGAAGGGGGAATGCACATATGCATAGGAAAAGGCAGTGCAACACACTGACCTTGACCACGCTAGCATCCTTGAGAAATGCACGGAGAGTCTCGGGAACTCCGGTGAACTTGAGATGGAAGAGATAACAGACGTCCGCGTTGGCACAGAGCTGTAGCAGTGCACAGGGATTCTCCGGGCCTGGTGGGGACGTGGTGGAAGAGTTGGAGGTTGGGGGAAGAGAGTGGGAGGTGAGAGAGTGAAGGGGGAGCAGGGAGGCAGAAGAATTGGGTATAGCACGCATCATCATCCCTCCCTCCCCATCTCACCCCAAACCATCAAACCTCACCACACCACCCTCACCCCACAACCCTCACTCCACTCCACTCCACCACCCTCACCCCTGCCCTCACCTTACTCCACCACACCCCGCCACGCTCACCTTTCCCCCACGTGGGCTTCCACTCGCAGTCCAGCCCACCGCCGACCTGCTGCTGCTGCCGTCGGCGCCCTGAGCATTGAGGGAGGAGCACCCTTGGTCTAGGCCCATCAGCCCCAGCCCTTACCCTACCCCACCCTACCCCACCACACCACCTCACCTTTCCCCCACGTGGGCTTCCACTCGCAGTCCAGCCCCACCGCCACTTTGCCGCTGCTGTCGTTGGCCCCTGGTGTAGGGAGGGAGGAGTAGAGGGAGGAGCAGAGGGAGCAGCAGAGGGAGGGGCAGAGGGGTGATACAGAAAGATCGAGAACGGGAGGAAGCAACTTGAGTCACTCGCAGTCCAGCTCCAGTGCCTACCGCTCTTACAGCCGTGTAGAGCAAATTTCGTTGGCGCCTCAAAAGCGTCTCTTACAGTCGCAAGAGCCCCCTCGCTGCTGCTGCCTCCCCACCAATGCGCTTTCGTCCACGCACAGCACACCCACAGTCCAGTCCAACACCGGAACCCAACGTCCTAGGCGCTACTGATTCTGCCATTGTAAACACAATCACTTAAACCCTACCAGCCGCAAAGCCCTCCGCTCTTGACAGCCGCGTACAGTCCGCTCTTCACAGCCGCGTACAGCTCCCTCGCTGCTGCCTCCACCCGTTGAGCTCGCGGCGATACACCACCTTCCCATCAAATCAAATCCACAGGATTCTATACCGCGAACCCTTATACCTTACCGTTCTTGACAGCCGCGTAGAGCTCTTTCGCGGCTGCCTCCACGCCGTTGCGCTCACGGCGATACACCACACCCAGTCTGACTTGCAGACCAGAAGCGAAATCTTACAAGGCCCACAAGACCGCCAGTGCCTACCGTTCTTCACAGCCGTGCAGAGCTCCCTCGCTGCTGCCTCTACTCCGTTGCGCTCACGGCAGTACACCACCTTCCCGGGAAGGCGCGCGTAGACGTAATAAGACCATACAACAAGCTCTATACCTGCAAGTCTTACCATTCTTAACAGCTGCATAGAGCTCCCTCGCTGCTGCCTCCACCCCATTGCGCTCGCGGCGGTACACCACCTTCCCGGGGAAGCGCGCGTAGATGTCTTGTGCGAGCACTGGTATGGAACGGAAGAGTGACGTTGCTGCAAGGAGGAGAAGGAAAGGAAGGGTGGGGAAGTGGGGAGAGGGGGCGGGAAGGAGAGGGGAGGAGAGGGGAAAGAGAGGGGGGGAGAGGGGTTAAGGGTGGGGGCCAGGCCTGTCGCTACAAGGGCATTTGCCCTTTTTGCCCTTGAATTCACGTGCTGGTTCAGGCCCAGCTCAGAGAATTCAAGGGCTGGCTTTGAGGCCAGCCCGTTTCCCTTACGGGCTGGTTGAACGCCTAACCCGGATTTCACGTACACGCTCAGAGCCTTCACCTACCACCCTACCCCCTCATTTCCCTTGATATTGTCCCCTGCTTACGTTCATACTCCCCCCCCCACCCCGTTGCATGGTAGACCGGCTATGTACCGCAGCCCTCAGGTGTATTTGAACATCATCTACGTTCACGATGTGTTTACGCTCAAGTGCAGAAGGAGGTGCAGCCCTGGATCTAAGTGTTGAAATCTGACTCCTCAACCCGGATAAATAAGGGCTGAATTCAGGGCACCTCAGCCCGCTAAGTTCTGGACCCAAAGCAAGCGACAGCCCTGGTGGGGGCGCAAGAGAGGAAACAGAGAGGGTACAAATCTCGCGAATCCCAACCAAACCCGGCACACCTTGCACGTCGCGGCGGAAGGAGAAGTCGCGCGCGAGGCCGGGGGCCGCCACTACTTGATCCGCGCCCTTGACCCCCGCTGCCCCCGGCCTTTCCCCATTCCCCCCCTTTTTCCCCTTGCACCAAACCATCAAATCCAATGCTCGCACCTTGCACGTCGCGGCGGAAAGAAAGTCGCGCGCGTGGCCGGGGGCCGCCACTACTTGATCCGCGCCCTTCACCGCCGCTGCCCCCGGCCCCTTCCCCTCCGCCATTCCTTCTCGCACCCACCAGCACCATAACCACCCAACGCACCCAACACTCAAGAAAAGTCGCGCGCGAGGCCGTGGTTCGCAACCACCTGATCCGCGCCCTTCACCACCGCTGCCCCCGGCCTTTCTCCATTCTCCCCTTTCCCCATTCCCCCCTTTCCCCCTTGCACCAAACCATCAAACCCAATGCTCGCACCTTGCACGTCGCGGCGGAAAGAAAAGTCGCGCGCGTGGCCGTGGTTCGCAACCACCTGATCCGCGCCCTTCACCACCGCTGCCCCCGGCCTTTCTCCATTCTCCCCTTTCCCCATTCCCCCCTTTCCCCCTTGCACCAAACCATCAAACCCAATGCTCGCACCTTGCACGTCGCGGCGGAAAGAAAAGTCGCGCGCGTGGCCGGGGGCCGCCACTACTTGATCCGCGCCCTTCACCACCGCTGCCCCCGGCCCCTTCCCCTCCGCCCATGACGGTAGTTTCCGCTTCTGTGACGTCGCTGCCGGCGCCGCCGCTGCCGCTGCCGCCACCGCTACTGATGGTGCATTAGCTGCGCCTTTGCCCTTACCGTTCACGTTCTTCGCCGCTAAACCCCCGTCCTTGACCCCTGAACCTCCGCCGATCTTCCGCGTTACTAGCTCACTCATTAACGATTTATTAGGGTCTTTGAGGCTCACTTCCGGAAGTTTAAACGACCACCACACGCCCTGCTTCTCCCTCTCCTTGCCTGCTTCTCCCTCCTCTCCGCCCCCTTTGCCAGTCTGATCGTGACCCGCGCTATCGAGCTTTCTACGCTTGGCGGGAGGCGATGGCCCCCCTTCCGCCTCGGTTGTCCTCGTTAGCGTGCTCTTTTTCGTTATAAGCCTCGTCTTCGTTACAGTGATCGAGCTGAGTGTCTTCTTGACAGCGCTGGCTGCTTTCCGGACGACGCTCGTCGTGCCGTTCCGTTTCTTCTCCGCCGGCGTACCGTTCGGCGCACGGTTCGGCGTACGGAGTGTCGTGTCATTGGGCGCACGGTTCTCGTACGGCCGCATGGCGTCGAGAATCGCGTTCCAATCAGCCTCGTCCAATACGATCTTCTCTTTCGCGAGCGACACCTCCGCGAGCGCTGCCAAACCACCCGCCATTGCCGGGAAAGCTGAACCGTCCGATCAAGATAGCAGACGGAAATGCGCGCAGCTCAGCCTTGGATGCAGAGCTACGAAAAAGAGGGTGGTTTGTGAACGATTGAAGGGGAATGAATGGTGGGGTTGGGGTTGCTGTGCTGGCGTGCCCCGAGCAGAACGAGGGGAAAGCGAAGAGGTTGAGAGGGTGTCTCAGATGTCTGAGTCCACGTGGGTCCGGCTCGGACCTGACGGACCAGCTCAAGAACCAGCGCGTGAACCAGGGCGGACCGGGACCAGGATGCGGGGCTTGTAACCCCGTTATACCGTTCGAATGGCACTAAAACGGTGCCATTTATTTGGCCCTCCAGACCAGTCCGCGCCTGGTCCGTAAACAGTAGGTGGTGAAACATTTATTTTTGCGAAATTTCTTGTTTTGTAAGTTTCGCGTGAGATTTTTGTGCAGACGAAGAAAATGGGTAACTAAATTTCAAATTCGTTGCTACTGCTGCATCTCGCAAATACTGTGCAGCCCGAAGCGCGACGGATTAGGCAGACCAGTCCGTGTCTGGTCCAACGCTGGTCCGCCAAGTGGTCCGTCGGACCAGAACCCCGGACCAGGCGTATAGATTCTGGTCGCGGACCAGATCCAGCAGACCCTTCACATGAGACACGTCCTGAATGTCGAGGAGGACGAAGGGATATTCGAAACACCGTAAGGAAGAAGCTTTCTGAAACACTTCCAAATCATTCAGAAGTAGGTAATTTTTGAGCTGCAATACCGTACCTATCTCTTCAGATCATACCAACTTCAATTCACAACACTGGAGGTGTATATGCATGCATTGCAAGTGTTCATATTATGGAGATTTATTTTTACTGGATCACGGCACAAACTCAACATGGTTGGAGCTGGAGCCAAGCTACTTCGTTGCACCGCCAGAATACCATATGGTACGGTACTACCGTATGTGAGGCTTTCTCCTCAGTGCAAAGATCGGGGGTTTTCCTTTCTTTACGGTACTACTACTAACTTTGGAGAAAATATACCTTCTATTTACCTCCCAGATATCTTGAGCATAATTCTCCTCCCAGCAGAATCAAATAACGCCACCCCAGCCAAAGCCACCTCCAAAGCATAACTCCAAACTCCACCACCTCAATGTGCTGCTATCGAGACATGCTCTTATCGAGTTGCTTCAGCTTCTCTTCAACAGACACAGGTCCCTGCGCTCGTGATTGGGCCTTGCGATCTGCTGATGTCAGCAACAGGCCTGGTACGCAGAATACGTTGTTGTGGGAAGGGGGAGGGGACGGGGGGGGGGGAGGGGAGGGGAAGGGAGGGGAAGAGAAAGGGAAGCTAAGGGAAGGAAAGGGAAGGGAGGAGGGTGGGGACGGGAAAGACTAACGAATGGTGAAAGGAGAGGTAGCAGGAGAGGAAACGGTGATGCGGGGAGAGAGGGGGAGCGGGTGGCGGCTGGAGGGAGGAAGAGGAAGGGAGAGGAGAAGAGTGGAAACTGGCGTGGGGGAGGAAGTGGGGAGGTGGGAAGGAATGTGGAAGGGAATAGCGGCTGAAAGGATGAGAGAATCGGAGAAGCAGGGAGAAGACGGGAGCAGGGATGATTGGGGGCGACGGGTGGAACGAAGAGCGCACGGGAGAGCGCGCGGAGAGTGGCCGAGGAATGGACAGTGGAGCACGGGAGAAACACGGAATGAATGGAAAAAAAAGTTCAGAGGCGCGGGAGAAACAAACGACAACGAGACTGAGACGTGTTTGCGCGCTGGTTCAACGATCCCGCTGGTAACGTACCCGCTATTGTGCCGACGCCGCACGCTACGAGTACAACCTTTGATATCCTGTCGGATATCATGGCGGGAAAAGGACGAAGCAAAAAGCGAGCGCGGCCGAAAGGAGTAACTGCTACGAGACAAGGGGTGAAGTGAAGGGGAGGAGAAAGGGCGAGCCGAGAAGCGAAGGACGCAGCGCAGGCGAACGGAGAAGCAGGCAAGAAAATTGTCACGTTACGCGAAGTGGCGATTCGGTCGTGTGATACTGGAGCGTGCGAGGATTTGAGAACGTGAGGAGCTGCGTGCAGGAGCTTAGGAGTGCAGAGAAAACACGAGAGCAAGATGCGACGAAGCTGGCCAAAGGTATACAAAATACGAGTATGCTTTTCGATGTGTATTATACGTAAATCTTGTGACCCTCTATCGAGTACAAGCCACCACAAAATGTTTATGTGGGCGGCATCCCCCAAAATTTAGGACGCGTCACATTTGAAAAACCGAGGAAGGATCGGGGATGTTCACCGATCCTGCCAAATCGATCGCCACATCGGTGTGCCACAACTGAATGTTTTCAATCGCGGGCCCACCGCAAGTCCCAAGTGACACGATCGGAAAATCATGGGAAAAAAATGCCCGATGTGGACGAAATTGCGCGTCACAATTGAAACATCGATCCTGCGCAGGATCGGTGTTTCGCGGGTACAGTACTTCGTTAAGTTGCGAAATAGTGATTACTTGACTTCGTATCTGTCGCCAATGTACAGTTGTCCCCTAGGAGTCACGCGATCGATGTGCCCTTGCCACACATCGATCGTGCAATTTCATCCAGATCGGGCGATTTACTTGTAAAACAGAGTAGCTGTGACTACTGGAGGGCTGGAAACTTGGCTGGAAAGTCTTAGCAGGGCTGCTGGAATTGACTGGATGAGGTAAAACTTCACTATGTTCAAGATTAACAAGCCCACTAAAGCACAACTCTAGGCATCACAAACAAGACAGATTGAAAGCTCAAACTAGGCTGATAGACAATGTAACTTCCCTGGTAACTTGGGCACAATCTAGATTGGATGGACCTTGAGTGACTTTGAGTGCCACATGAGGTGCATGAATAAGAAAACTCTGGATATTTCTGTTATAGCTGATTCTGATGTGTAGAAACCTGTAGAAACTGCCAACACTTCGGTTTGAAGGCAGCTTTGAACTATATCGAGTCTTCGGCTGAAATCTGATTGGTGGTGGAACTTTCGAAGTACTTCCCGAAGCTCTGATTCATCGCCGACATTCCCCCTTGCTGCTGCTTGTGTGCAAAGGGCTGGGGCGGCAGAAACTCGATTCTCCAACACTCCCCCTCGCACCAGACCCGAAGCACACATACACCCATGCTGATGCTCCTTTCACATCTCCTTAGCATACACTTCATGCTGCTGCCCACGTCTCTTCCCCTCACACTCCTCATTCTCCTCAAACTGCTCCACTGCTTCATGAAGTGTCATGAGGCCTGCTCTTGCCTTGCACATGTTGAATGCATCATGTGGAAGAACCTTGGTCATGAAATCTGCTGCTTGATCGAATGAACGGCAAAAGTTGACGGCGAGAACTCCCTTCTCTAGTTGCTCACGAATGAAGTGGTACTGCACCTCGATGTGTTTTGTACGCCCATGATGAACCGGGTTCTTGGAAAGAGCTACGGCTGAAGTGTTGTCCACGTAGAGCGGAGTTGGTTGAGTTTGCGGCTGCCTCAATTCCTCCAAGAGTCCACGTAACCAGATTGCCTCCCTTGCTCCTTCGGTCATTGCCATGTACTCAGCTTCGGTTGTTGAAAGTGCCACACAACTTTGCTTGCGCGATTGCCAAGAAACAGCGGCACCACACATGAGGAAGATGTAGCCGCCGGTAGACTTGCGTGTGCTCAATTCTCCCGCCCAATCTGCATCGGTAAAGCCTTGGAGGGAGCTTGCATATGGGCTGGCTTGGAAGAGAAGACCATGATTAGAAGTACCTTTGAGATACCGAAGAGCTCGCTTGGTTGCATGCATATGAATAGGTGAAGGGGCACTCATGTGTTGAGCTAGCTTAGATACCGTGAATGCTAAGTCGGGCCTTGTGCATAGGGCTGCATACATGAGACACCCAACCTGACTTTGGTACAGAGCTAGGTCTTGTGGGGATACCTTAAGTGAATTCTCACCATGATGCTCACTCTCCTCAAGACACAACTCTTTAATACCTATGATATCAAGGCTTGACTCTCTCTCTTCATAGGGCTGATGTGAAGACAAAGGGACAAATTTGGAAGGAAGTGGGGTAGGTGATGGCTTGCTATCATCAAGACCAAACCTCTCAAGGACCTTTTGGATGTACCTTTGCTGGAATAGGAAGATGGACCGTGACTTACGATCTCTCACAATGTTCATACCAAGATAATGACTCGGCTCACCAAGATCGGTCATCGTGAATGCACTCGTGAGAATACCTTTCACCTTGTTGAGAAGATCAAGAGAACCTGAGGCTAGGAGGAGGTCATCGACATATACCAAGAGCCAAATGTACTCCCCCTCACTCGTGTGCATGAAGTACAGAGCGTTGTCTCTCATGGACCTTGTGAAACCATGCTTGAAAAGTACCTGCTCAAGAGCATGATACCAAACCCGTGGGGACTGTTTGAGACCATAAAGGGACTTTACAAAGCAACACACTCGACCCGTACCGTCATCATAACCTTCGGGTTGTGCCATGTATACCTCTTCTTCCAAGACACCGTAGAGAAATGCGTTCTTGACATCCATTTGATGGATATGGAGACCAAGATATGCGGCTATGGCGAGGAGGACTCGTACCGTGGTGTACTTTGCTACCACGGCAAAGGTTTCGGTGAAGTCAAGACCTGGAATTTGGGAATAACCTTTTGCCACTAACCTTGCCTTGTACCTATCGAGGCTACCATCACCTTTTACCTTGATCTTGTACACCCATTTGACACCAATTACCTTCTTCCCTGGAGGTGGCTCAACAAGACGCCATGTACCTCGCTTCATGAGACTCTCAATCTCCTCTTCCTCGGCTTTCAACCAATGCTCTCTTTCGGGACTTGCCATTGCCTCACGACGACTCAAGGGCTCTCGCGGAAGGTGTGATGCTGCCATGCATATTGCCTCTACCTTCTTGTGAATGCAATTCTCACTCTCCTCACATGTGCACCTTGATGACATGTCAACCATGAAATTGAAGGGCTTTTTTACCTTGCGGACTCGTTTACCTTTACCAAACTCCTCAGTTGGCTGAGACACATTAGTGGTAGGGTTCGGTCTCACAGTGTTTGATTGCGTTGATGCGGTCATTTGCGGCTGAGACAACGGCTGCGACATCGGCTGCGACGGCGGCACGGCTGCTTGTTCTTCTCCTGGCGTGGAAATATCTTGATTATCGGTGTTGACTTGAGGATTAGGTATGGTGACTCGTGGCGGTGAAGCTGAAACGTTTGTCGGCATAGTTGGTTGTGAAGATGCTCTTGGTGGGGATCTTGAGACTAGAAGCTTGGGAATTGATGATGACGCTGCCTTGTCGAGAGGTGGTGATGGTTGGGGCTGGTTGGTGTTGTTGCTCGGTGTTGAAGATGGTGGTAACTGATGACGACCGAATCCGGGACGTGGGGGTGAAGTTGAGAAAGGTCTTGGGTGAAGAAGTGGACTGTTGGAGCTGGTGTTGGTGGTGACTCGCTGAAGTGATCCTCGTGCTATGAGCTGGCTTGACGTTGGAACAAGTGATGAACGTGTGGTATGAGAACGAGGTGTTGCGGTGACGGTTGACTTGTTGCTAGGAAGAGTCGTAGATGGTGTTGATGTAGGTACTTGGGGTCTTGTAGCTGTTGATTGCTGCTGCATGGGATGATGATGAGCTTCTGTAGTTGCCTCTGGAGTGATGGCTGGTGATGGGTTTGATGGCGTAGTGGTGGGCTGATCCGGTTGGCGTTGAAATTGTGAGGTTGGTGTTGATATAGCTGGCTGGTTTGTGACTGTTGGCTGCTGCTCCTTTGGTGGTGATGGAACGGTGACTTGCTGCGGTGGATTGTCTTCATTTGATGGCTGAACTTCATCTCCACTTGGTTGAGTAGCTGCTGGTGGCACTGGCGTGGCACGGTTGGACTCGTTGACGACGGCTTGAGGGAGATCGATGATCGGTCCGCTATGGTCAGAATCGGTGTCATCTTCTTCCTCCTCTTGTGTTGTTTCCTCAGGTGCGCTTGCTGGTTCCTGTTGGATAGAGGGTAGAGAGGAGGAAGAGGAAAACTTATGCCAACCTGCAAGGGACATGTCTTCATAGAAGACAACATCCCTTGAAACCACTTCTCGCTTGGTGACAGGATCCCAAAGGACCCATCCCTTGCTCTCATTGCTCATGCCGATGAAGAGGCCCCAATGAGCTTTGCTGTCCAGCTTGAGTCTCTTTGCATCTGGAACACGGTATTGGGCCATGGAACCAAAAACACGAAGCATAGACAGATCTGGTTTAACTCCAAACCAAGCCTCATATGGCGTTACACCTTCCGGTAAGGGCCTTGTGGGTCTCCTGTTGCGAACATAAATTGCCATAGTGATTGCCTCACCCCACCAGAGCTTATCAAGGCCTTTGAACTGAAGGAAAGTGGTAGCTATAGCCTGGATAGTGCGATGAAACCTCTCTGCCACTCCATTTTGCTGAGGACTATAGGGACAAGTGAACTGTTGTTTGATGCCCAATGCCAACAACTCCCCCTGAAACGCTTTCCCCATGTACTCACCTCCTCGATCTGACCTCAAGGTGAGTAACTTCTTCCCTGACTCTCTCTCAACAAGTGCTAGCCATTGCTTGAAACACTTGTGAACTTCATCCTTGGTGTTGATGAAAAAGGACCACGAGAAACGACTCTTGTCATCAATGAAAGACACCAAATATCTCTTACCGTTTCGAGTAGGGTCTCGCATGGGGCCGAAGACATCAGTGTGGACCAACTCTAGGAGGTCCCTTGACTGAGACTTAGAAGGGAAGAATGGTTTTCTAGCTAGTTTACCTTCCACACAAGATGGACATGGAACGGAAGAAAGGGACTTGACTGCACTTTCATTCAAACTCAATCCTTCCACGCTCTTGTGATTTACCAACTCTTTCAATGCTTGCACTCCCACGTGCCCCAAGCGTGCATGCCATACCTCAGCTTGGGAGATACTCCCTTTGTTGTTGACTTGATCGGTTGAAACAGCGGGAAGCGAGACAACGTCGTTCTTCGTGTTGCTAGCACCGCACTTAATCTCCAACTTCATCTTGTAGAGCCGCCCGGTACGCTCGCCTTCAGCCACCAGATTTCCTGCACTGTCCCACACTTTGGCTTTCCCCCCTTGCAAGAGAACGGAGGCACCTTTCTCTTCGAGTTGTCCGGCTGAGAGCAAGTTTGCTCCCAAATCAGGAACAAACAAAGCTTTATTGACACAAAATGACTTACCATCCTTTTCGAACTCAAGCTTGCCGACTCCTTTGATTGGTACTTTGCCAAGATCAGCAAGAGTCACAGCTTTTGAGTCATATGAGGGCTGAAAATCCTTGAGAATGGACTGATAGGGAGTCATGGTTTCAGAGCAGCCACTATCAAGAATAAACTCCTCACTACTAGTAGAGAAAACGTGCATGCAAGTAGCAGCGTTAAAAAGGACAGGACCATCGGACTCTTTGGACTCATCTTGACTTGTAGAATGACTTGCTATATTTGCTATGGCTGCCTTACCTTTTTCAGATAGTAGCTGAGGTGGGGGGACCCAATTAGGAGGCTTCTTAGGACAAGCATACCACGGGTGACCCCACTCATGACAACAAAAAACACTCAAAATTAAACTTTTTAGCATTCGGGGCTTGGCTGAAATTATTGACTCTTGGCATATTGACTCTTGCATTCCTAGGCTGGTATTGATTGGGAATCGAAGGCCTTGGCTGGACATAGTGACTGGACTTATAGGGAGGACTTGACTGAGGAAAACGAGAGGGTTTGTATGGGTTGGAAGGTGACTGAAATTTCGTACCGTAGTAGGGTTGAGGGCGGTTTGGGCTGAAATTTCCTTGCCTCTGGAATTGGTTGCCATATCTTGTGGCGGCTGCAGCACTCCACGCACCTTCGTCACTCCGCTTGTTCCGTGCAAGGTCTCGACTCTGCTGCTCGTTGACAAGGGCCTCAAAGATGAACGCACGACTCTTCATTGACTGCGGGAGCGCTTGTAGTGTTGCACGGAAAGTGTTCCACTCCGGTGTAAGGCCGGTGAGGATGACGGTCTTGAAAAGAGACTCTGGAATCTCCAAGCCGATCGCTGCTGCTTCCTCCAGCATTGCTTCAGCTCGTTGTAGGTAGGCTTGTGCTGATTCATCTTCTTCCATCTTCAGATTCATGAAGCGGCTCCACATCTCGGCTTGGCTGCTCTCGGATTTTGACTGGTGCATAGTCTTCAGTCGGCTCCATGCTTCCTCTCCACTGTTTGCCTTGGTAGAACAGGGCAGGAGCGACTTCAACTGCTGCTCGTGAATGCTATTGAGTAGGTAGAGGAAGGCCTCCTTGTTGCGTCGTTCGTAAAGTCGTTTTTCAGCTTCTGAAGCATCTGCTGCTGGTTTGGCTGCTTCTCCAGTGTAGTAAGGCCACAGATCCAGAAGGGATGCAGTGAGCTCAAACTGAGTTGCCCATGTTGGAAAATCTTTGCCGTTGAACTTGGGGAGGTGAAGCTTAGGCATGAAGGAGGTGAGTGGTGAGTATGTTGTTGAAGAACTGCCTGGTGCAACTGCTTCCACTAATCCAGTAGCTGCTGATGTTGACTCTGAAGCTCCTCCGGCTGGCTGGAGTGCAGGACCAGATGGATTGTCTCCCGCCATGTTCGTATGGTGCTAGGATAGGAACGTGGTGGGCTAGGTTGATCGAAACGACAAGCTCTGATACCAACTTGTAAAACAGAGTAGCTGTGACTACTGGAGGGCTGGAAACTTGGCTGGAAAGTCTTAGCAGGGCTGCTGGAATTGACTGGATGAGGTAAAACTTCACTATGTTCAAGATTAACAAGCCCACTAAAGCACAACTCTAGGCATCACAAACAAGACAGATTGAAAGCTCAAACTAGGCTGATAGACAATGTAACTTCCCTGGTAACTTGGGCACAATCTAGATTGGATGGACCTTGAGTGACTTTGAGTGCCACATGAGGTGCATGAATAAGAAAACTCTGGATATTTCTGTTATAGCTGATTCTGATGTGTAGAAACCTGTAGAAACTGCCCGGTTTGAAGGCAGCTTTGAACTATATCGAGTCTTCGGCTGAAATCTGATTGGTGGTGGAACTTTCGAAGTACTTCCCGAAGCTCTGATTCATCGCCGACATTCCCCCTTGCTGCTGCTTGTGTGCAAAGGGCTGGGGCGGCAGAAACTCGATTCTCCAACAGATTTTGCCCCAAGATTTTTCAAATGTCCCTCGAGAATTGCGGTGGGCCCCGCGATTGCAAAAATGCAGTCATGGCACACCGATGTGGCGATCGATTTGGCAGGATCGGTGAACACCCCCGATCCTTCCTCGGTATTTCAATTGTGACGCGTCGTTAGGGATTTAGTAGCATTCTCTGAAATATGCAGGGCTCACGCAGTGCATACTATTCTCCGCTATCCAGTGTAGGAAGCACCCAAACGGACGAGCCCGTTAGACAGTCAGGCGATCAGAGTCCGACTAGCTGAGTCATTCGACTGAACGCTTAGGTGGTCAGGTTTTAGAGCGATTTGTAGGCTATCAAGTGACTCAACGTTTAGGTGATCAAGCGATTAGGCAATGCCTCTATTAGCTGCATCCCATCGCATTCCTCTCTCTCCTTCAGCCACCAGCCATAGATTCGCCGTAATTCCACGCAATCTCGCTACAGGGAACCTTCGCAATAGTAACTGTTCATTTAGCGCGTCGAGCAATCTGCTAGTCTCTGCGCCTCTGCGATTGTCGCCCGCGATATCGTCGGGAGTGTCGTCCGTTTTGCAGCGACGGTTTATCGCCATGGCAGAGGCGAGCGACGTCGCAGGGATGTCTCAGGCGACGAGTGAGGGGAGTCGCATGAAGGTGCTCTTCGTCGAGATGGGTGTGGGATACGACCAGCACGGGTGTGTCGTCGTATTCCATGCATGGGTGCGCATTAGTGGTGGTGGTGTTCTTTACCAAGCTTTACAGAACAAATGAGCTATCACTACCGTGTCCAATGTAGTGGTGTTGTGTGGTTATTTATCCTAGGCATCCATTTACCTCACGGCGCGCTGATCAGCACTTTTCCATCTATTCACCCCTTATATCATCCCTCCAATCATGGCTTGCCACGTGGCAGGCAGAATGTCACCAAGGCAGCGATAAAGGCGTGTCGAAACGCCATCACGTCCAACTCCATCCCCGCCTTCCGCACAGGTAGGGGGCGTTATCTTGATGCTCCCATCTCTCGCTCTTCCTTATGGTCTCTGAGGCAATGTCGCCTGGCATAATTATTCCACAACCGGGGGCTCGGCATACCAGGCCTGATTACGTCCTAGCCATGATAGTTTCCTTTCCTCAGTCTCCCCTCCTCTACCCACTCCTACCTCCACCCCCACCCCCCTTTAGACGTGTGCGTTTCTTCCATGCGCTACTGCTCTCCTTTCCACCCCCAGGTGCCATCCCAGGTGTATCGTGGTAGCAGATGAAGCTTCAGGTGCGCCTAGGCGTGCCCAGGGAGCTTCAGTCTGGCCTGGATATTGACCAAGTCAAGGCTGTGTTCCCCTAGTGAGTACCCTCCTCCCCACCCCCCTCCCCCGTCCCCCCCTTCCCCCTCTTCCCGCTCCTCCGCCTCCTCCTCCCCCCCCTACCCCTCATTCTCCCCCCCTTTCCCCCCTCCCCCCATCCTCCTCCACCTCCTCGTGCTCCTCTAACCGTTTAACTCACTCTCTCCTTCCGCCTCTCCATTTCTTTCTCCACCACTCTTCCCTCCCTACTCTCCACGCACGTCCACTGATGCTGATACACATGTTGTGAACCTTCACGCACTAATCAATGTGTGCTGGCAGTGGTGAAATCATTGGCGTGGAAGTGGTTGATGGTGGCCTCATCTGTTCGAGTGGGGTGGCGCTAGAGGCACTTGGTGACCGCAATGATGACTGCTATGTTGTGAATGCAGCAGTCTATGTAGGATATTGAGCCCAGCGCTATGTTTTACACCTAGAAATCCGTCGATTGTTATGGCATTTTGAGTGTGTCAGCACCAATCCACACATTTATGCGAATGCGTACCGTATGATCTCTGGAGATTTGTGAATGCAGTGTTCATAAGGTCGATGGAAAATGCCACCAGCTTACCGTAATATGTGAGACATGTGAGATTTCATTTTGTTTGGATGCAATTATGCCTTGATTTATCGACGGTGTAGGTTCTCGATAGTTCTGGCATGGCCTAGGAACATTCCCCCACACCTTGAAACCTGACCTCAAACGGGGACTGACTGGGAACTTCTGAGCCGAAGCATTTGCCAACGTGTAGTTCAGCTCACCAGACACACCCAACATGCGGCGTGTCTCGCTCTCACCGCTCCACATGGTACACGAGACGTGGCCAAGCAGCCACCTCAGCGTTTGACCTTCGTGACTCCACGCATTTTCTAATGGCACGTAGGCAGACCGACACGCGTCTCGGACGAAATTCGATAGCACCAGCGAGCCGCTTGCTGCTCCCACAACACATAAATTCCCTCCCTCCCATTCTTTTTTCACAAACATCTTTCGCTTCACAGCTCTTGATCTTCAGCGCCTCCTCACCCCAATCTTTACGCAGAATTCTGCAGCAGAGCTCTAGAGCTATAACCCGTTGCGAACTAATAACAAGCAGCAGCACCAGCTTACTCCATCCACCTCTGCATACTCACCGCAACTCTCTCAGCCATGGCTACTCTCGCTGTCTCTACCTCTGCTGCAGCTAGCTCCGCAGCACTACGAGCGCGCAGCCTTCAGGCTAACCATCGCCGCGCTCTCGCCAACCCGTCCCTCGTCGCCGTGCGTCTCCCAGCACACAGAGGATCCACATCCCTCTCCACACCTGCCAACCGTACTGCACCCACGCGTCTAGCCATCTGCGCGGACTCCACAAATCCCTCCACGCCCGAGCCTGCCACCTCTCCCGCACCTCCCGCCAGCCCCGGGTTCGGGCTCGGAGGTCCGGGCACGTGGTTCGGATTCGGATCGCTGCAGGAGCTCAGCGTGGGTCGCCTCGCTATGGTCGGCTTCGCAAGCGCGCTGACGATGGAAGTCATCACAGGCAAGGGCGTGTTCGGTCAACTCGGAATCGACCCCCTCGCGATCCGCTTCCCGTTCCTCGCGGGACTCACGTTTCTGCTTCTAGGAGGGCTTCTCGGCGGCTGGGTGGTGATTAACAACCCGCCGGATGTTTCTAAGGCGCCGCCGAATGCGGGCGCGGGCGTGCCGCGCGATCCGTTCAGCAAAAGCGCGCTCGACCCGCTGTTGACGTACACGCGCGGGGTGGAGGTGGAGGGGGAGGATGGCAAGCCCGTGGTTCTTCCAATTGCGTCCGACCTGAAGCCGCTTGATAAATAATTCTCTAACGCCCTGCGGTAGAGCCAGCTTCCACTGGACGGTGGTGAATTGTAGGTCAGGAACTTATGTGGCTACGTTGATGTGGGAGAGATGTGGTTCCCATAGACTGTATGTACCGCTCTGTAAAGCTTGTAGTAAAAATTTTCATTTATATTCAAAACATTTTGTGAGGGTTGAACTTCGTCTATGCCAAACAAATCACACAATTACCTCATGTAGGAAGTGTCAAAAACACATAAATAGAACATGGTTCATAAGACCACCACCCAGTGGCCACACTTGTTAGTCAGCATTTTCACCATTTCTCACCACCACCTTACACCAGCCAGTGTCTAGCTGGAAAACTAGAGGGTCCCCCTCCCCCCCTCACTATTATTGGCTGTTGGCTGGAAAAGCGCCAAGCCATGTCACAACCACAGTTGATAATATTCCCACTATATCCGGAAACCAATCCACCAATCCACCAGCATTATACCCCCCCCTCCCCATCCCCCTACATATCTAGATTCTGGACTCCGTGTAATAGCTTCTCACTCTCCTTGGCAGCAGGCTGAGAGAGCGCCATGCCATGCCACAGCAGCACATTCTCCAAGCCAAGCCAAGACAAGCCAAGCCAAGCATCCAGCTCCCCTAAATATCAAACGACGGTACAGTGTTCAGCAGCTCCTCGGTCTCCTTGGCAGCAGGCTGAGAGAGCGCCACGGCACGGCACAGCTTGACGGCATCTGCAGGAGTGACGAAGAGCCACTGCTCGCCTATCTCTGCTAACAGCTGTGCGTCAAACATCTTCCTCAGCACGTCCCTGTTGGCACTCGCCAGGCAAAGCTGTTGCAGGAGGGGGTGGTGGGAAAGGGGCGAAGGGGAGGAGATGAACAGGAATTGTGGCACCCAGGAGTGACGAAGAGCCACTGCTCGCCTATCTCTGCTAACAGCTGTGCGTCAAACATCTTCCTCAGCACGTCCCTGTTGGCACTCGCCAGGCAAAGCTGTTGCAGGAGGGGGTGGTGGGAAAGGGGCGAAGGGGAGGAGATGAACAGGAATTGTGGCACCCAGGAGTGACGAAGAGCCACTGCTCGCCTATCTCTGCTAACAGCTGTGCGTCAAACATCTTCCTCAGCACGTCCCTGTTGGCACTCGCCAGACACAGCTGCAGAGGGATTGGAGGGAAGGGGATGGAATGGAGAAAGTGAGGGAGTGAGGGAGTGCAGGTCTCTCATGGACTCTATGGCCGACAAACCTGACCCACCCACATCACCCAGGTCAGCTCACCTGGATGCCCATCTGTGTGAGGTCGCGGTGCAGGTCCCTCATGGCCTAGACGGCCAGCTTACCTGAGTGCCACAGTCAGACCACCCGCATCACCTGATCAACCCACCTGGATCACGTGATCAACCCACCTGGATCACCTGATCAGCCCACCCGCATCACCTGATCAACCCACCTGGATCACCTGATCAACCCACCCGCATCACCTGATCAACCCACCTGGATCACCTGATCAACCCACCTGGATCACCTGCATCAGCTCACCTGGATGCCCATCTGTGTGAGGTCGCGGTGCAGGTCCCTCATGGCTTCTATGGCCGTCACATCTATGTCATGCATGACCGATAGGTCCAACACACAATGCTGCCAAAAGGTGGGGAACAGCGGGAGAGGGATGGAGGAATGGGGGATGGGAAGAGGTGGTCTTGAGCATTGCAGGTCCCTCATGACTTCAATGACCGTCACGTCAATGGCATGCATGACTGATAGATCCAGCATACAGTGCTGCAGAGGGAGAGGGGGGCGGGGCAATGGGAGATGGGAAGGTGGGAGTTGAGTATTGCAGCTCTCTCGTGGCCTCAATGGCCGTCACATCGATAAGAATATTCACCTCGATGCAGCTCGCTCACTGATGACATGACAGTCACCCTGGGAATGTTTTTTGAGAATTCTACCGCGGCAATCTCATTGTAATGCCATGCCTCACTTTGACTGCCTGCTCATACCTCCTTGCATACGGCGTACCGTCACACAGCGGATCCACCCGCTGCCTTACGGTGCTCTCACACGCCACAGGCAAACTCGCAAATCGCTCACCTTGACTGGCTGCTGGTATCCCCTTGTGTACGCATCACACAGCTTCTACACCCGCCACCTAACAAAGATCTGACAGCAGTCTCAAACATCTTCCCCTCACATTCACTGATCGTTCACCCTGGGGACTGCGTCAGTTTCAGGCTCACCTTGACTGGCTGCTGGTAACCCCTTGCATACGCATCACACAGCTTCTTCACCCTCTGCCTCACAAAGTTAGCTCCTTGGAAGTACAACGGGCTCTCCACCCTGAGCATCACGATCCCCTCACACAGCGCGCTGTTGGGGAACTGCAGCACCAGTAATGACACGCTCACTGTGACGGCTCACCTTGACTGGTTGCTGGTATCCCCTTGCGTACGCGTCACAGAGCTTCTTCACCCGCTGGCGCACAAAATTCGCTCCGGGGAAATACAGCGGGCTCTCCACCCTCAGCATCACAATCCCCTCGCACAGCGCACTGTTGGGGAACTGCAGCACGCTCACGGCTGTAGCGGCGGCGTTGGGGAGGAGGCCGAGCAGGCGGATGTGCGGGCGGAGGGAGCGCAGGAGGATTTTGATGAGGGAGAGCAGGATGGCGACGAGAAGGCCGATCTCGGGGGAGCCGAAGAGGATGGCGAGGAAGCAGCCCGACATGACCAGAAAATCCATTTTGTCTACTTTCCAGAGGGCCCACGCTGCATGGAAGTCGAGCTGGGAAAGGTGGGGTTGGGGAAGGAGGAGGGAATGAGGGGGGAAGGAGGGGGTAGTGGAGAGAATGAGTGAAGAGGATGGCGAGGAAGCAGCCCGACATGACCAGGGAATCCATTTTATCGACTCTCCACAGGGCCCACGCTGCATGGAAGTCGAGCTGTTAGGGGCAGAATGGGGGAGAAGGGAGAGCACACGTGGGGAAATCAGGCGGATGTGCGGGCGGAGGGAGCGCAGGAGGAGCTTGATGAGGGAGAGGAGGATGGCGACTAGGAGGCCGATCTCGGGGGAACCGAAGAGGATGGCGAGGAAGCAGGCGGGCCTGACGAGGAAGTCCATCTTGTCTACCCTCCACAGGGCCCAGGCTGCATGGAAGCCGAGCTGGGAAGGGGGGAAGGATGTGGGGAGGATGTGGGGAGGATGTGGGGAGGATGTGGGGAGGATGTAGGGAGGATGTGGGGAGGATGTGGGGAGGAGGTGGGGAGGATGTGGGGAGGAGGTGGGGAGGATGTGGGGAGGATATGGGGAGGAGGGGGTGCCGAGGGTACAGTGGGGGAAGCAGCCCGACATGACCAGGAAACCATCTTGTCTACCCTCCACAGGGCCCACGCTGCATGGAAGTCGAGCTGTTGAGTGAGGAAGAAGAGGCGGGAAGGAGGGAATAAGGAGGGAATGGAGATTGGAAGCAACCCGACATGACCAGGAAGTCCATCTTGTCTACCCTCCAGAGGGCTGCTGCTGCATGGAAATCGAGCTGTGAACAGGGGAAGGATGTGGGGAGGATGTGGGGAGAATGTGGGGAGAAGGGGTGATGAGGGTACAGTGGGGGAAGCAGCCCGACATGACCAGGAAACCATCTTGTCTACCCTCCACAGGGCTCACGCTGCATGGAAGTCGAGCTGGTAGAGGGGCAAGAGGTAAGGCAGGGGAGAGCGGAAGAGGAGGGAATACGGTGGGAATGGGAGCAGCAGGGAGACATGCAGGAAATCCATCTTGTCCACCCTCCCCCCAGGGCTGCTGCCGCGTGGAAGTCGAGCTGGGAAGGTGGTGGAGGAAAGGGGGGAAAGGAGAGCTTTGAGGCGCCAGGAAACCCAAAGAGGATGGCGAGGAAGCATCCTGAGATGACCAGGAAATCCATCTGGTCTACCCTCCACAGGGCTGCTGTTGCATGGAAACCCAGCTGGGCATGCGGGGTGGGAGAAGGAGGCAGATTGAAGATTGAAGGAATGAGAGGCCCAGCCCAGAGCGAGTGGATTTGGGGGGCGAAGCAGGAGGATTTGGGGCGGGTTCGAGAGACGGCGCGATTATGAAGGGGACTGAGAGGGTGAGTGAGAGTGGGATGGGGAGAGAGCTAAGGAAAATCAGGGTAGAACAGTTTGAGTTGGGGCTTACCAGGTTCAAGGCAGCGTTGGCAATGCCTGCTCCGACCACACACTACAGAGCGGCACATTATTTAGGTGCCGCGGAAACATGGGAGTTAAGGAGGGGGTGCGGCCTTACCAGGTTCAAGGCAGCATTGGCGATCAATGCACCAACCACACACTGCAGAGAGGTCTGTCTCTGAGGCGCCTCAGAAACACAGAAGGCAATCAGAGTTGGGGAGTTAAGGTTGGTTGGTGGGGGCTTACCAAGTTCAAGGCAGCGTTGGCAATGACTGCTCCAACCACACACTGCAGTGGGGGAGGGCGAGGGGACACATGGGGTGCATGTCGGGGGGGGGGGGGGGGGGGGGGGGGTTGGGAAGGGGTGGTTGAGGAGAGAGAGGGAGGGAGGAAGAGCGGAAGAGGACAAGGAATCTGATGAAAAATTCTGCACTGCTAGTCCCCAATAAGATCGGATCAGCACTAGCAGCACGAGGGGCATGAAAAAATCAAGGCCTATGGGATCATTTTTCGAGGGGACGACAAAAAAAGGGAAGCAAGCGGCTGCGCACATTGGGGACGTTTTTGAAGAGCGGGGCGGCGACGAGCAGCACGAGCAGAATGAGGAGCGCCATGATGACTTGCGTGAGTGCTGTCTTGGCGCCTGCTAGCATGTTCACTGCCGTGCGGGAAAAGGAACCTGGCGGCATGCGGAGGAGAGGAAAGTGGGGCCAGAAGGGGAGGGAGGCGAGTGAAGGAGGCAGGAATGAGCAGGTGTTGGCATGGCAAGAGATGGCTTGCGTGAGCGTTGTCCTGGCGTCCACTAGCACGTTGATGGCAGCGTGGGAGGAGGAACCTGGAGGAGCGGGAGGAGAGGAGAAGGGAGGAACGGGGAGATGAAGGGAGGCAGTGAGTGCGACGCATGAAGATGCCAGCGAGACAGTAGGGGCTATTTTTGAGACTTCTCAAAAACAGCCTCGTTACACGTCGCATGAAGATGCCAGCGAGGCAGTAGGGGCTAATGCAGATAGAATAAAATGGAAGGCAGGGGCCAGTGCACAGCAGCTGCAGCTTTGATACATCCCCTCTCTGCACCGCACCACACCGCACTGCACCGCACTTGAAGTCACCATTCTGCCTCACCTGTTGCCACATAGCATGAGGTGAACGAACCGACCAGGTTCATTGAACCAAACGCCACCATCTGAAACGCAAGGCAGGGAGAGTGAGGGGAAGGGGGGATCGGGTGGGAGGGTAAGTTTGGAATGAATAAGGTGGCAGGAAAGAAGGAATTGACTAATGGAAAGACAATGCGGAAGAACATATGCTTTCAAAACCCCACTTACCTCTATGGTACCTTCACGTGGTAACCATCTCACCTCTTTGTTACCGTCGAGGTGGTAACCATCTCACCTCTTTGTTACCGTCGAGATGGTAACCATCTCACCTCTTTGTTACCGTCGAGGTGGTAACCATATAGGCTGGCAAAGGTACGGGCGATTCCCACAGACTCCTGCACAAGGGGAAGCACAAAGGGAAGCAGATGTCTTGAACACTTGATGAACTAGGTTACACACGAGGTGTCTCTCGGCATGCCCCAGAAATCGGCTCAAAAGATGCCTCTTCAGGTGCCTTGCACTTTTTTTTTAGCGCCTCACAAATCCTCTCCAGGTGCACCAGAAATCAGTGCAAAAGATGTATCTCCAGGCGCATTGCAACGATTTCAAAAGACACTGGGGGCTGAGAGGGCACTCAAGGCTCACGCTCACCGCAAGGGAGACAAGGCAGGCGATGAAGCCTACTGTGGCCACATCAGCAACATTCTCCCGCGAGAAATTGAGATAAGATATGGAGGAGGCCCCGTGCAGCCCCGTGGAAATCTTTCCTATCTGGGCAGGGCAACCGGGCCGAGGGAAGAGGGCAGAAGAGGGGCAAAAGGCGGCAGAGGGTGAGGAGGAGAGAAATTGAGGTAAGATATGGAGGAGGCCCCTTGCAGCCCTGTGGAGTGTGAAGATTGGAAATTGAACAAGTAACTTCATTAGGGGAGAAAACCTAGCATACATAGTTGGAAGAGAGGCTTGGAAGGGAAGGGTGAAGGTGACCATAGGTTGGGTTGACCTCACTTGGGGGAGTGAGGCAACCATAGGTCAAGTGGGTTGGGTTGCCCACACTTTGTAGAAGTGAGGCAACCCTAGGCCCACTTGGCTTGAGGTGACCTCACTTGTAGGAAGTGCGGCACCCATAAGCCAAGTGGGTTGCATTTGGGGGCTCCACCACAATTGGGTGGATTGGCACCCCAAAGTGCAAGACTACACCCAAAGTTGGGTGTAGTCCCAACCCAACTGTGCACCACAATTGGTGTACAGTCACAAGTGTTGGCATGCTACACAATATATATTTCTAACATGGAGATCTTTCCTATCTGGACACGGGAGAGACACGAGATGAATGGAGAGAGATGGGAGAAGGTGGTGGGAGAAAATTGAGAGAAGGTGGTGGGAAATGGTGGAGGGAAGAAGGTGGAGGAGAGAAGTTGAAGTAAGAGATGGACGATGCCCCGTGCACCTCAACGCACGTTAACCTCAACGCACGGCAATGGCTGGTGTGCTGCTCGTGGCAGAGAGGCAGAGAGGAGGGAACGCTGTGACAACTCACAGTGGGGATGTCCTGCTCGCTGATCCCTGCTGCTGACACGGTGATAATTGCACAGGAGATGTGGAATACTCGGAGCACGGTCATACCCTAGGGCCAAGGGGAACGAGCACAGTAAGGACAGGACTCACAGTGGGGATGCCTTTGTCTGCCAGCCCTGCAGCTGCCACGATGATGGTTGAGATGAGGATGGATGTGAGCGGGCCGAGCGCTTTGAGGTAGTAAAACACCTTGTTCTTGGGTTTCAGGTACACCTGTGGGGTGGTGGGGTGGAAGGGTGGGGCGGAGGGGTGGGGTGGGGTGGAGGGGTGAAATTGAGCCTCAAAGGGACTGAGCACTGGGCGTGAGCGGGCCGAGCGCGTTGAGGTAGTAAAACACCTTGTTCTTGGGTTTCAGGTACACCTGTGGGGTGGTGGGGTGGAAGGGTGGGGCGGAGGGGTGGGGTGGGGTGGAGGGGTGAAATTGAGCCTCAAAGGGACTGAGCACTGGGCGTGAGCGGGCCGAGCGCGTTGAGGTAGTAAAACACCTTGTTCTTGGGTTTCAGGTACACCTGTGGGGTGGTGGGGTGGAAGGGTGGGGCGGAGGGGTGGGGTGGGGTGGAGGGGTGAAATTGAGCCTCAAAGGGACTGAGCACTGGGCGTGAGCGGGCCGAGCGCTTTGAGGTAGTAAAACACCTTGTTCTTGGGTTTCAGGTACACCTGTGGGGTGGTGGGGTGGAAGGGTGGGGCGGAGGGGTGGGGTGGGGTGGAGGGGTGAAATTGAGCCTCAAAGGGACTGAGCACTGGGCGTGAGCGGGCCGAGCGCGTTGAGGTAGTAAAACACCTTGTTCTTTGGCTTCAGATACACCTGTGGTGAGTTGGGGTGGTGGGGTGATAGGGTGAGAGGGGAAAGGGAGAAGCGGGAGGGAAAGGAAGAGGGTGGGTTGGCAAGGATGCATACCAGCAGGTGCACGGAGGAGAGGTGGAGGAGAGGTGGAGGAGAGGTGGAGGAGAGGTGGAGGAGAGGTGGAGGAGAGGTGGAGGAGAGGTGGAGGAGAGGTGGAGGAGAGGTGGAGGAGAGGTGGAGGAGAGGTGGAGGAGAGGTGGAGGAGAGGTGGAGGAGAGGTGGAGGAGAGGTGGAGGAGAGGTGGAGGAGAGGTGGAGGAGAGGTGGAGGAGAGGTGGAGGAGAGGTGGAGGAGAGGTGGAGGAGAGGTGGAGGAGAGGTGGAGGAGAGGTGGAGGAGAGGTGGAGGAGAGGTGGAGGAGAGGTGGAGGAGAGGTGGAGGAGAGGTGGAGGAGAGGTGGAGGAGAGGTGGAGGAGAGGTGGAGGAGAGGTGGAGGAGAGGTAGAGGAAGGACATGCATGCCTGTGTCAGTGCTTTTATGTGAACCCAAGGCTTACCAGGGGGTGAGAGGAAAAAGAGGGGAGGGGCGGGGGGTGCGTACCAGCAGGCGCAGTGTGGAGAGGTGGAGGTAGAGAGGACATGCCAATAACAGTGTATCTATGTCACTGCAGTTCTCACAAGGGGAGGGAGAACGGGCAGGCAGTGCATACCAGCAGGCGCAGTGTGGAGAGGTGGAGGTAGAGAGGACATGCCCATGCCATGACAGTGCGACTATGTCACCTCAGTACTCTCAGGAGGATGGCAGGGACAGGGGGTGCAGTGCGTACCAGCAGGCGCACTGTGGAGAGGTGGAGGTAGAGAGGACATGCCAATAACAGTGTATCTATGTCACTGCAGTTCTCACAAGGGGAGGGAGAACGGGCAGGCAGTGCATACCAGCAGGCGCAGTGTGGAGAGGTGGAGGTAGAGAGGACATGCCCATGCCATGACAGTGCGACTATGTCACCTCAGTACTCTCAGGAGGATGGCAGGGACAGGGGGTGCAGTGCGTACCAGCAGGCGCACTGTGGAGAGGTGGATGTAGAGAGGACATGCCCATGCCATGACAGTGTTTCTATTCTATGTCACCCCAACTCCCACAGGGGGACTCGGGAAGGGAGGAGGGGCAGGAAGTGCGTAGCAGGAGGCGCACTGTGGAGAGGTAGAGGAAGAAGGATATGCCCATGCCAGCGGGTGCTACGTCAATGCAAGGTTTACGAGAGAGTGAGAGAGGGAAGGGGGAGAGGGGAAAGGGGGAGAGGGGGAAGGGGGAGAGGGGGAAGGGGGAGAGGGGGAAGGGGGAGAGGGGGAAGTGCGTACCAGCAGGCGCACTGTGGAGAGGTAGAGGAAGAAGGATATGCCCATGACGAATGCCTTCCACTGGAACTGCACGCATGGGGATGGGCATGGTCATGGCAAGGGGAATAGAAGGGCATGGGTTTAGGCAGGAGAGGTAGGCGAGAGAGAGGGGAGGAAACGAGGAGATACAGGGAAGGGGAAGAAGGACACGCCCATGACAAACGCCTTCCACTGGAACTGCAGGAATGGGGATGGGCATGGGCATGGGCATGGGCATGGGCATGGGGATGGGGATGGGCATGGCCGTGGGATTGGGAATGGCAGGCAATGGCAATGAGAAGGATGTAACACTGGGAGATCCGAGATTCTTGTAGGCACGGGCGTGTTTGCACAGCAACAGAGGTCCGCGCGATGTTCCTGATGCTTATACATACACATGCGTCCTGGCCTTTAATTCCACCCAACACCACTAACCTGGTAGCCGTATTGCACGCTCGTGCTGAGCGTGAAGTCCTTGTACCCCAGGATGAGCTTCAGCTGCTGGAGGCTATGGTCAGCAGGCACCGCACAGCACCACACAGCACCACGCAGCACCACACTGCACCGCACTGCACCCACCTGGTAGCTGTACTGCACTATGGCAGCAATGATGTTGACGATGCTGGTGCTGAGTGTGAAGTCCTTGTACCCCAGGATGAGCTTCAGCTGCTGGATGGCTATGGTGAGGGAACAGCCCGACAGGAACCCCACGATGGTTGGCTGGTTCAGGAAGTCCACCAGAAATCCGAACCTGGCAAAACAGAAAATGGGAGTGAAAGACAGGCGTTCGAGAGAGAAGAGATTCAGCTGCTGGATGGCGATGGTGAGGGAACAGCCTGACAGGAACCCCACGATGGTTGGCTGGTTCAGGAAATCCACCAGGAACCCGAATCTGTTGGGAGGGAATGGGGGAGAGACAGAGAGGCTTTCAGGAGAGGGAGAGAGGGAAGAATTCAAGAGAGGTGAGGGAGCTGGTGAGAGGGCCGCCCGACAGGAACCCCAAGATGGTTGGCTGATAAGCCCTTGCGCTCCCCGGCAGAGCCCCATGATGAATTGGAAGAGGCCACAGAAGAAGGTGGGGGTGACGGCGAGGCTGGTGTAGAGCGCAGTTTGGGTAGCCGGGTCGGGTCGGCCAGCGCGCTGAGGGAGAGAGGTGCCGAGCAGCAGCACGAACCCAGAAGCACTCACAAGCACAGCACACTCGTAAGCCCCTCCGCTCACCTGCACAGCCCCATGATGAGCTGAAAGAGGCCGCAGAATAAGGTAGCAGTAACCGCCAGGCTGGTGTAGAGCGCAGTTTGGGTAGCCGGGTCGGGTCGGCGAGCGCACTGAGGGAGGTGCCGAGCAGCTGAGAGACATCAAGGCCTGTCCCAAGTACCTCATTCCCCTCCGTCCGCTCACCTGCAGAGCCCCATGATGAGTTGGAAGAGGCCGAAGAAGAAAGTCGCAGTGACGGCGAGGCTGGCTGGTATAGAGCGCAGTTTGCGTAGCCGGGTCGGCCAGTGGGCTGAGGGAGGTGCCGAGCAGCTGCGAGACAAGCCCAGTTGCACTCAAGAGCCCAGCACACTGACACTGGCAAGCCCAGCACACTCATCAGTCCCTCCTCTCACCTGCACAGCCCCATGATGACCTGAAAGAGGCCGCAGAAGAAGGTGGCGGTGACGGCGAGGCTGGTGTAGAGCGCTCAGGGCCGTGCTGAATGTAGCAGGAAAATTGCCTAGTAGTGTCACGGACACGCCCAGCACACTGACGAGACACTGTCACGCCCTTCTCTCACCTGCACAGCCCCATGATGAGTTGGAAGAGGCCGCAGAAAAACGTCGCAGTGACAACGAGGCTGGTGTAGAGCGCTCACGGCCGCGATGAGCAGAAGCACAAGCCCAGTCGCACTCATCAGTCCTTCCACTGACCTGCACAGCCCCATGATGAGTTGGAAGAGGCCGCAGAAGAAGGTGGCGGTGACAACGAGGCTGGTGTAGAGCGCCGGGTCGGTGGCGGGGTTGGCGAGAGCGCTGACGGACGTGCCGAGCAGCTGCGAGATGACTGACACGGGCGCTATGACGAGATGCTTGGACGAGCCCTGTATGGCGTAGAGCAGCGGCGGGATGAAACTGGTGCCTGGTGGGGGGGGGGAGGGAAGGGGGGAGGGGAGCAGAGGGGAGAAGGGGGACTGACAGGGGCGCGACGACGAGGTGCTTGGAGGAGCCCTGTATGGCGTAGAGCAGCAGCGGGATGAAACTGGTGCCTGGTGGGGGAGGGTATAGGGAGGGAGAGGGGAAGGAGGAAAAGGAGAGGGGATCTATTGGACATGCAGAGCCGTGGCGAGAAGGTAAGAGACGACTGATGTGGTGCGTTCACGAGGTGGACGAGGATAGGGAGGAAGAGGATGAGGAGAGAGGATGAGGGGAGAGGATGAGGGGAGAGGATGAGGGGAGAGGATGAGGATGGAGAGAGGGGATGGGAGAGGAGATAGGGGGAAACTCACGGAGAGCGAACTCGGCAGGCATGTTGGCGTACTTGGCGTATGAGCGTCCTGGTAGGGACGAGCGAGGGAAGAGAGGGAGGGAGGGCGCGGAGAAGAAAGGGAGGAGGAGTTACAAGAGCAGGCGTGAGAGGCAAGGAGATCCACAGTGAGGCAAGGAGATCCACAGAGAGGCAAGGAGATCCACAGTGAGGCAAGGAGATCCACAGTGAGGCAAGGAGATCCACAGTGAGGCAAGGAGATCCACAGTGAGGCAAGGAGATCCACAGTGAGGCAAGGAGATCCACAGAGAGGCAAGGAGATCCACAGAGAGGCAAGGAGATCCACAGAGAGGCAAGGAGATCCACAGAGAGGCAAGGAGATCCACAGTGAGGCAAGGAGATCCACAGTGAGGCAAGGAGATCCACAGTGAGGCAAGGAGATCCACAGTGAGGCAAGGAGAGGCAGGATGAGAGCACGGGTGGGAAGACCCGGAGAGGATGAATGAAGGTCCCTCCGCACAACGAGGGGCCATGCCATGCCATGCGACCACACATCGCAACACATCGCCATGCCGCCATGCAGCAATGCAACGGTCACCACTCACAGCCCGCCGCCACACATCGCTCATCGGCCACCACCAGCAGCGCACAGAGCACAGCTCACAACTCACCACCCACAGCGCACAGCACACAGCACACGGCTCACCTGGGGGACGGACATAACAGCGATGGAAACTCCTCCAATAATGTCACCAAGCAGGTAGTACCGCCAGTCGAGGTGAATTGAGTTGACGTAGAATGTATCCTTGCTCACCTGTGTATCCTTGCTCACCTGTGCATCCTGACTCCAGTTCCCGTGTGCCGCCCACCACTCACAACCAACCTCGCATTGCTCATGGCTCACCTGGGGCACGGACATGACAGCGATGGACACGCCTCCGATAATGTCCCCCAGCAGGTAGTACCGCCAGTCGTACTCAGGCAGCCACGCGAGGATCGGGAACACGCCCTTGAGAAACACCCAGATCTTCTCCCGCCACGGCTTTCCGCGAAACTGCTGAACTGGATCTGCTTCCGGGAAGAACACCCACTTGAGCGGCATTAGTGACTCTGACAGCTCCTCCTCTAGAGTCACATCCGGCATAGGAACATTCCTGCCTTCCACGGAAGCTTCTTCTTCCTTGATAGGTTCTGGGAACGGGGATGGGGGGACCTGGTCGTTATAGTCACCTAGCTCGAGAATCGCGCCCCCGCTATTGTCACCATTGCCTGACATGTGGCTCCCCCAGGCGCGAGGCGTTTCGTTATAAGCAGACAGGGCGCTGCTGCTTGTACCGGACCAGTGCTGCTTCCCGCTCCCCTCCCCGCTCTCCACGCGCCTTAGCCTCCTCCCGCTCCCCGACCCTCCGTTAGTACTAGCATTACCCATTGCATCCGCGTTAACGACTGCCCCGCTATTGGATCTTGAAATCGACCTGGTGCTGCCGCTTCCGCTCCCCAGAGACCCACGCGAACCCCCAGAGTTCCCATCCCCGTTAGTAGCATACCCGCCCGGAGTGGGATAGGCAGGCCCATGAGCTACACGCACTGGTGCAACGGCGCCTGCTGGGACTGCTGCTCCTGCTCCTCCGACCGCTCCTCCTACTGATGCTCCACGTGTCAGCGGTGCAGTGGTCGGCGAAACAATGCGATTCTCGTCGGAGTAGGATCGATGAAATGGAGCCGCCATGGCTTTCAACGGCAACTACGTGCGCGTGGCAGCACGGTTCAGATGTGAGAGGCTTCAATACTATTCGCAAGTGCTCAGAGCTGCTGCTTCATAGGTGGGTGGATCTGAGACACCGACTGGGCAATGCAGCTGACGAAAGCTGAGGCTTGACAGGGAGGTAGCAGGGTTTTGATACGAGCAGCTCGCATACGGCGGCGTGGATGATCTTATACCGGGACCGTCTGTAACGGACGGCGGAGAGAACGAGATGTTCTCGAGGTAGAGGGGACTGAAGGGACGTGACGAGTGGACAGAACAGGCGAGAGAAAGGCCAGCTGCTGTTTAATGACAAGGGAGGGACCTGCTCTTTAGTTAATGAGAGTAACTTCTGGTTCTCTCAAGCCGTCTCAAGCCGACTATGCACCATTTCAATTTCCAACCGTTGTGAAACGTCTTCAAAGCGTCTCTCAAGCCGTCTCAAGCCGACTATGCATTATTCCAACCCGTGTGAAACGCCTTCAAAGCATCTCAAAGGAAAAGACTCAAAATGTCTTTAACTGTCTCCGAACTTTTGGGACGGACCTCCCCAAGGGTAGGAGGAGCAGCGACTGGGGTGGGAGACTGAGATAAAAAGAGAAGCAACTGCGCATAGGACGGGGCTGAAATGCTGCACGCCATGCTCTAGGATCCGGCACGGCAGGAGTCGCTACAGTATAAAAGTTGTATTTTACCATTTTCCCGAAAGCGTACTGTTGTACTGTAGAGAGGTTGTGGAGTGAAGTGAAGAGTAGTAAGAACCTGGTCGATGAGTGAAGCGGCGCGTTTCGTAACGTGGGGTGGAGCAGAGGGGAAGGGATGCACAGCGATCCGCGATCATGGTGGCGGGTGGGTGATGGAAGCTTCCCCCGCGGACGGACGATAGACGGGAGATGGGAGAGGGAGAGAACCAAGAGCGCGAGAAACTGAGGGAGCGAAAACTGGAGCGAGAGTAGAGCGAAAGAGAGGAGGGGTTCTGTGAGGAAGAGAGCCATGGGAGAAGGGCCCAGGGCGAAGGGATTCGCGATTCGAGCAACTAGATGGGTGAAACGCAACTGTAGCTGGCTGGTTGCTTTCCCCTCCACGTCCAGCGACGAATCGCGTCGCACTTCACGGTACGACTGCACCCTAAAAAAGGGGGTACTTACTGTTAGACTATCGTTCCACGTGAGCAGCATAAGCACTACAGTACTACAGAGCTGAGCTCGCACTTCCAAAACCGTATGCATGTAGACTGGGCACAGAGGATGCAGTAGCAGTGGCTCCAGCATGCAACGCAGAGCGAGCGATTCTAGCGACAGCCGCTGAATGAGCTGCATCTTGACACGGCGAGCTCTCGTACAGTACGGTGCAGTGCGATGCAGTACGATGCAGTGCGATGCAGTGCGAGCGACCCGCACGAGTAATGTGTTCGGTTCGGAGAGCCTGAAGCGTACATGTCCCGTGGTTGAGAGCGTGTGAATCCTCCTCGTGCCATCTACATACTCTGCACCAGTCGCGTCCTGCTCCTATGAACGCCATTGCAATAAAAGCAACGGCGCTGGACGTTTGGCTGCTAGTGCGACGGGAGGCTCCAATAAGAAGCCTAGAAAAGGCAGGTTACCGGCAGCTTTTGCAGGATTTGTATGTACAAGGCGCAACGGAATCAGCGAAGAATGCCAACAAGCTATGAGCGTTGGGCACCTGGAAATGACGAAGACAATCCCAAGGTAAGTCGAAATTAGACGCCTCTGGGACTGTCATGGAGTTGGGAAGGCCAGATTCAGGGAACAAACTTCTGTTCTTGATTTAGTGCTACTTCGTTTTCCTCCTCCGCAAATTTTCGAAAGAAAGCATGTAGAACCAGCTGTGAGGCTGTTTGTAACTCGGAGTTCGAGAACAAAATATTTTCCCTCTGTACATTAGATTGATCTGCCTTACTAATTTTGATCCACAACAATATATCGAATCATATAGAAGGGAACCGCTTGTGACTGATGTGTCATTTGGTCAGTTGAATGGGACTTGCAAGTGACAGGTCAGTCCTCTGCGATATGACACAATCCCCGCCGACATCTGGGTCCAATGAGTCGCAGAGACTCGTCGCGGGACTTGTGAATGTGATGGAGTCACGCCTAGTCTGCGGTCATTCTGCTCACGTCACATTCTACTGCCAGCATGTGAAACTCTGTACAGCTCACGCGTGAATTGTAGGGGAAGTTCCCATCGAAAATACTCTATGCGGCGGTGAGTCACTCTGCTAGTTCTCTTGTTGCTTGCTTCGAGATTCAGCGCATTCTCAAGTTTGCCCACCATCGAAGTTTGCCCACCAGCCCGTTTTTCCGAAGATGATGGTGCCTTTGGTGGGAACGCTCCCACTCTAACCACCGAACCTCATTTAGGCGGGCGACAGATGTCGCCAGCGTCGCATGTCCGATATCCAATGAAATTGACGCGCCAACTCGCATACCAAGTGTTGGAGGAACTTCGTCAGGCAAAAACCTAAACGGCCGTGCCTGACGATTGCGCCTGACATAAATTTTGGGCACAATGGTCATATCAAGTCAACGTGGGTTTACTTGGCAAAATCAAGTAAGCAACGCAGAAATGGGTTTCGTGGGCAGGAAATGAATATATGTGACGGCTGTGTGCGCGAAACTGGCATGTCTAACACTAGTCCCAACACCCAGCAAACGTGGCACGATCTCCATTGTCGTACACCGACGGACAGGCCAGTAATTGCGACCATGGCCGGTTGGACTCATGGGGGCCAAACTTCGAATCGCGTGGGGGAACTTTCCAATGTAAATTAATGCCACGTCAACATTTCGAGTCGCGTGGGCAAACTTCTGATGGTGGCAAACTTGAGAATGCGCCCTCAGAGAGAGTGTTGTGTACTAGCTACTCGACAACAATTAGCCCGCGTTTCAGTCATAGCAGGTCGTTCGAAGATCCTGGCTCGTGCAGCCCTGTAAATAGGTAGCTTCTGAGCGTTAAGTTCATAAGTGCCGGGGCTTTGCGACTGATTACAGGCAACGCGGCTTGCCGTCTATCGATCTCCAGTTGCGCTTCCTGGTGTCGTTCCCAGTATCTCGTGTCAGTTTATGTAGGTCGCTGTGGAACAGCTCGCTCGCCCTCCCCCGTTTGCAAGCAGCCTCTAATACCATAATCTTAAGATTGCGGTTCCTCCTAGGATTGAACTAAAGCACTTGCTATTTCTTATCAGGGATACATTTCTCACTCTCTATTTAGCCGAAACGACAGTGCTGACGGAACGTTGACGGAAAGCGGACGAAGCGGACGAATCCGTCGACGGAACGAAACGGCTCGGCGTCGAGATCCATGGACAGACTCTCAGAAGCCGACGCGACCGACAGTCTTGTCGGCCTGAAACCACCAGCCGACGCCGATTTGAGAGGTCCTGCCTCGTCGAAATCTGAGGCTCCTCAGAAGTTGAATCCTCCAGCCGATGTTATCTTGCACGTTCCTAGCTCGAGAGGCCTTTCGTCGTCGACTTGTGAGGTTCCACAGGAACTGAAAGCGCCAGCCGATACCATCTCGCGCGTTCCCAGCTTCAGAGGCTCTTCCTCGTCGATATGTTCTTTCTTCATTGGCGTGTACTCTCCCATAATTCGCCTAATATCGAATCCTCTGTCCCCGTTTGTGACTACAAAGTCGGGAGGTTCTTCAAACGAGTTGAGCAGAAGCCAAAAAAGCACGCACGGCATGGACTGGTTTCACGACATCTTGCTAGCTGTCAACGTGTTACTCCTTATACTCGTTATAGCACGTTCCGTTCCGCAATTATGGGTGGACCCGGCTGCTAACGGAGCGGGGGACATCGCATGTGCAGAAGGCGCGGCATCTGCGGGGGAAAACCCGCTGCGCGGGTCCGCCTGGGGGGGATGGGGGAAGGGTTGGGGGGAGGATTGGGGGAAACGTTCACTCATGGGGAATCTGCGGAAAGCCCTGGGGTACGGTGGCGGCGGAGGGTACGCGGGATTCGAGGGGGAGAGTTCGGGAATGGTGTTAAGTGGGGGGGAGGGGGTCGGAGGTCTGTATGGTGATTTCAGCGGCGGGAATGGCGGCGGGAATGGCGGCGAGAATGACGCACGGCCGGAGCAGCCGCAGTGGGAGCACGTGTGCTGGACGTCGTCGGGAGGTGAGGCGGAGTGATGCTCGCGCCCATGCTCGCGGCCATGCTCGCGCCCATGCTCGCGCCCATGCTCGCGCCCATGCCCCTCGCCCATGCCCCTCGCCCATGCCCCTCGCCCATGCCCGCAAGCATTCCTGCGCCCATGCCCGCGCGTATGCTCGCCCCCGCGCCCATGCTCGCACCCATTATGGCGGAGTGGTGTTCGCGCCTTGCTCGGAGCAGTTCCCCCGTTACAGCTGCCTCCCTCCATTCGGGAGGAGCTTGCGCATGTCGCCGCGCGCGCGCATCATGCCATTTCTCCGCTCCTCCCCCTCCCCCCGCTCCCCCGCTCCCCCTCCCCCTCCTCCTCCCCCTCCCTCCGCTCCCCCGCTCCCCCTCCCCCACCGCAGACTACTCCTCCCCTTCGCCCCCCGGAGTCACCATTCACGGGCGCGGCTGCGCCACGTGCATCCGCGGGCAGCGCTGCTCGTTCCGCCTGTCCGTGCGCGCGCCCGCGCGATGGGCGGAGGGGGTGCTGCATGCGGGGAAGCGCGGGTGGTGGAAGCGCGACGTGACTGTTACCATGCGCGGACCCGCCATGGGCGCGGGGGACGTGAGATGCCTTGACCCGCCGCGCTGCAGGGAGATGCGAGTGACGTACCGGCTGTGGGATGGAGGAGAGTACTTGTGAGTTCAAAACGGTGCTGTGTGGTGGGGAGCGATTTTGTGGGAGGTTTGCGTGGGGGTGGGGGAGTAGTGAGGGGGACATGCGCTGCCTTGACCCCCCGCGCTGCAGGGAGATGAGAATGACGTACCGCCTGTGGGATGGCGGGGAATACCTGTGAGTCTAAAACAGTGCTGTGCGGTGGGGAACCATTGGAGGGGCGGTTTGGGCGCGGGGGACGCGCGCTGCCTTGACCCCCCGCATTGCAGGGAGATGCAAGTGACGTACCGCCTGTGGGATGGCGGGGAATACCTGTGATTCGGAAACGGTGCTGTGCGGTGGGGAATGGTGGAAGGGAAATGGGAGGGATGTTTGGGTTCAGCCTTTTCCACCCCCACCTCCGCCCAATGTCGTCCCTCTTTAGGGCAATGGTTCACGTTGGGTTGCATACACACACCCTCACGATGTTGGTGAGGTGGTATTTCTGGCCCATCCACACATCCCCATGCCGTTCCATCTCACCACCATCACCACACCTCCTCGCCTCTCCCCACCTTTTCTCACCTCTCTCCTTCTCCCCTCTCAGGGCCACTATGCACGTAGGCTGTGCCAACATCCGTTTCTCACCGCACCTCACCTCTCCTCACCTCTCTCTCCTCCTCTCCCCTTCTCCCATCGCAGGGCCACCATGCACATAGGCTGTGCAAACCTGCGCTTCTCACCACACGTCTATCTGCACCTCAACACGACCTATTCTCCTGGCTCCTCACCTTCCCGCCTCATGTTTCCTCCCCCCTCCCCCCCTTCCCCTCCCTCTTGATCCATCGCAGGGCTACGATGCACATAGGCTGCGCCAACCTGCAATTCTCACCACTGTACTATCAGCACCTCAACAAGACAGCTCAACACGACCTCGTCTCCTGGCCCCTCACCGTTCTGCCCCGCACTGCACCCAACTCCACCGCACACGCTCAGCAACCCCGCCTCTCCCTTCCTCAGCTCCAACCGCCAGCAGCACAGACAAACCCTCCCCCAGGCAGCCCGAGCCTATCCCGAGCCTATCCCGAACCAGACTCCGAGCTTCCCAGAAACCCCTGCGTGGGAGCCTCGGTCCAGGGTCGGTGGAGGATGAGAAACGGTCTGTACCGCTGGGAACCGTTCTTCTGCGCGCACAAGGAGCTGCCTGCTAGCAGCTGGATTGCTGCTCTGGAGCAGAGGAGCATTCGGGAGATCAGCATTGTGGGGGACTCGCACCAGCGGTATTTCACAGCGCACTTGTATTATCTGCTCACGGGACGGGCGGATATGGGAGTGAAGAAGTGGCGGGATAATCTGTTTTATTCCGCAAAGGATGAAGAGGGGAGGGAGCTGAAGATCAACTTTTACTGGATTGATGGGATCTACCGGAATGGGGAGTTTGGGTGCAGTCATCGTGGCGCCACAACCAATCGGACGACTCAGTTCCCCAACATCTCATCCACTGCTGACGTCACCCTCTTTGAAGGAGGCTACTGGGGTGCGTCTTTCTGCAAGCAGCCTCTTAAAGCCCTCCGGGTGTACCTGCGGGAGTTTGTGCGCTGGGGCATTTCCGCCGTTGCGCCCGGAAAAGGCCGGGTGGTTTTCCGCACTATCCCCTCGTTTGCGGTGAGGTGGGGCTCGTGTAATCGGTACAATGGCCCGAGAACGAATCGAGCGGGCATGGCTGTGAACGCACTCTTGAAGCGAATCGTGCACGGGGGAACCAGGAGAGGAAAAGGGCGCACAGGAGAGGGGGGAAGGAGGGGAAGAGGGGAGGGTGGAGGGGAAGGTGGAGGGGAGGGAGTGGCTTGGCAAGACCTGGACGAGAGCTTGCAACGGCTGCCTGGTGAAGAGTTGGAAAGAGGATCTCATGTGGGGGGAAATGACGCGCTTCGAGATTCATCTGCTGAGGCGGCTCAAGGGAACTCGAGAGAATCAAGAAATACAGGTGACGCAGATTCTTATTCCGACTCTGATTCTGGGTCATTTGCCACACCAGCACAAGCAGCAGCAGCAGAAACAGCAGCACTGGCGGCTGAAAGTGCTGAAGGGGCGGCAGCAGGCGCAGCAGCAGACACAGCAGCAGACACAGCAGCAGGCGAGAAGCGGGCTGACACTGAAATACCAACAGGAGCAGCCACAATTCTGGACACGTGGCAAATCGACGCACCTCGATACCTTGACACGGCTATTCCCGACGACCACCACTACTCGAACGTGGTTGCAACTGATGACGGGGATGCGGTGGTGGGGGAGGTGGGGGAGGCGCATGTGAGGGCCTTCATCCACTATCTACTCTACATCCTCCCTCCTCCTGACAAGTGAGGCTGGGTCCTTTCATTCAGGCTGATTGACACGCCTCGATACCTTGAGATGGCTATCCCAGAAGCGGAGACCACCACTACTCGAACGTGGTGGCAACTGATAAGGGGAATGCGGTGGTGGGGGAGGTGGGGGAAGCACACGTGAGGGCCTTCATCCACTACATACATACTCCACATCCTCAATCCGCCTGCCAAGTGAAACCGACCAGCGCCGCTCTTACCGCCGCAAAAATACCAAGTGTCGCCGTACAATGAATCATGTACATACTGACCTGGCTTTTCTTCGTCCAGGCCAAATACAAACTATTACAGTTCTTCGTTGACTTTTGAGTCGACTCAAAAGTCAACTTGGCTTCTCTTTGTCCAGGCAAAATACAAACTATTACAGTACTTTTGACCTGGGAGGTGGTCCAGCCCAGCCCAGTCTTGGTCCAGCTCAGCCCAGTTTTGATATGCAAGTGAGACAGCTCAGTTTTGTCCTATGGTGTGTGCACCTCCCTTGGGTGTAGCATGCTTGCGAGCCTAACCTTAGCATTGCGTCCTGTTGCATGAGAGGTTTTGCTCTCGTCTCTTCTTGCGTATGAGAAGATACGTGGAGAGTATGTGGGGATCCCCCGCCTACCAGTCATCCTCTCTCTGTGCATGCATGCAGAGCGCATGCAGAGATCAGATGCTTACAGCCAGTGAGATGGCTCAGTTTTGACCTACTATGGTGTGTACATCGCGCTTGGGTGTAGCATGCTATCATACGGTATCCTTTGCGCTGCGTTCTCTTGGACGCAACTTTTTGCCTTTGTCTCCTCTTTGCTTGTCCTGTCTGTACATCATGAAACTAAATGTCGTGTGCTTTGCACTGGTATGGTATCGTATGCTTTAGTACATCTGACAGTAGCTACTGTAAACTTCACACACAAATGCTGTTCCTTGGGATTACATTGATAGTTGCTGATTGACAAAGCAGCTGAGCTAGAAGTGCACTGCAACATAACAAATTCATACAGATCATTCTTCCTGGCAATGACCGTAGTCCATCACTCAGAGCTCACTCAGAGATAACTCAGCCTCTCTGTCATAGAGTTTACCTTGCCTTACTTCATCATACTTTAGTTGACCCAGCCTGACATCCTCATAAAATTTACCCAGCCTTACAGCCTCACTCATAGAGTATACCCAGCTTTACATCCTCACTCATAGAGCTTACCCAGCTTACCCAGCCTTACAGCCTCACTCATAGAGTATACCTAGCATTACATCCTCACTCAGGGAGTTTAACCAGCCCTACACCCCCACTCTTACAGTTTAACCAGCCTTACGTCCTCACTCCTCACCAACGGTCTTTACCCAGCGCGTGTCAGAAATGAACCAACCATCCTGCCTTACAGCTTCTGCTCCCTTCCTATACCTTCCACACAGTAAGAATCTGCCATACCTGCGCAAGGCTTCAGCATATGGTCCGTGAAAGACAAGGAAACGGGAGGCTGTACAGATGATGGCCGTTGCAGCGTTATTCACGACGAATAAAACATCCCACTTTCCCGTCATTTCTCTTTCCAGTCTGCTGCTAATGCTCCTCCCTCCCTATGTCATACCGGCGACTACGGCGTGATTGTGACATCGGACCGCTCATGTTTATGCTTCGATCCTTCCAATCTTGCTCGTACTTACGATCTGCTGTCTTCTCCTCTTCTCTCTTCTCTCCTATCATAAAAGCGACCGCTTAGAGAGCGTGAAATCGGAAATACTCTCGCTGATCGACGCTGACTCACAAACCGACGTGTTAATCCGCAGCGAGCTAGCGCGGATCACGCCGCGCGTGCTGGCTCCATCCGTCAGCGAGGAGACCAAGCCGCTGCGATAATTCGTCGGGAAGGTAATCACGACGATAAGCGATGTTATGAAGCGGCGAGTTAAAAGGAATATCATTTCACGCCTAAGCTGGACGATCGTTCGGCTGTTCCGTGAATGGCGTTACTGAATCGTAAAGATTTGTTGTCTTAGCTGCATTTATAAAGAAGTAACTTCGTTTCGTGTCAGACACTTAGTACGCTGAGTTATCGTAAAACATATATATCGTAAAGCAGATGTACAAGTCCTAGCTGACACGCTAAGGACTAGAAGCGTCAACCACGAAGTTCTTGGAAGTTCTTGAGATCCAAAGCTGCTCGCCCGTCTTCTTGACCCCTCTTGGCCGCTAGAGGCAAATGCCTCTAGCGTTACACCCGCACACCACGTTGAGGTGAGGGTCATTCGTGCGGGACCTTGTTTGGGAAGGGGCGGGTGGGCGGGAAAAAAATAATCTGAAAAGCCGGGATGGTTAAGTTTACGATTAAAAAGAATCAGCTCCAGCAGAAGCTCCTCGGTTGTCAGAAGTTGCCAGGTTGAGCGGTGGGAGGGAATCGAGGAGGAGGCGAGTAGCCCAGAAATACCCCCCCAAACCCAAAAACCGTCCCAAAAATTCTACCCAAAAAAACCCAACCAGCCCAAAAAATCCCAAAAGTCCCAAAGATGAAGGTGGCCGATGCGAAAGCTGCGGAAGGGACGGAGACAGGGGGAGGGGGGATGGTGGGGGGGGGGGGGGAGTCAAACACGTTGCTCGCTCCTATCTCCGGCTCAAGCTCCGCGCTTCAACTCCGCGCTCACGCACCGTGCTCCTGCACCGCGCTCGCCCCGGCCTCTCTGCACCACAGACGACAGACAAAAAACGTTAGATATTTCGGAAAACAAAAACGAGTACAGTAAAAGCGACGACACCATTACCAGGACCGCGCTGCTGATGACGTTGACGTCGGCGTAGAAGTTGACGTTGTCTCCGGCAGGGGTCAGTGGGAAGCGAGAGGGGGCGGCGGAAGAGGGTATCCAGGCGGGGGCTGCCCTTCACCACCCTCTCCGCCACCCCCTGCCCCCCTCGCTCCCACAACCCCGCCGGTTCTTCCTTGAAAGCTTCTGACACTGAAGCACAGGGCGAAGCAACGGCATCACGGTATCACGGCAGAGACAAACGCCACAACCAACAAAGCGCGAAAAAGAAAAGGCGCGGAAAAACGCGAAGTACTGAAACATGATGGAGGAGGAGGGAATGGCACCAAAATAGTCGGCTCTGACAACGCGCCATCCGTCGCGCCATACGCCAGCGATTCCCGCGAGACGCCCCGCCGACGCGCCATACACCCACGATTCCCGCCAAACGCGGATCGTATCTTGGAAACTGAGCACATGGCGAAGCAACGGCATCACGGTACCACGGTAGAGAGAAACGCACAAGCAGCGGAAAAACGACGAAAAACCCGAAAAACAAGACGAAAAAAACGATGAAAAAACGCGAAAGAGAAGGAGGAGGGAGTATCACCAACATAGTCGCCTCTGATCCGCCGTGCACAGCGCCATATGCCCGCGATTCCCCGCGAAACACCGCGCCGTCGAGCCATACACCCGTGAAACGCGCCAAATGCCCGCGAGACCCGCCGGCGCCATGGGCTTCCACTCCCGCCGTGTTGGAAACTGCTCACATGGCGAAGCAACGGCATCACGGTACCACGGCAGAGAGAAACGCACAAGCAAAGAAAAAACGACGGGAAAAAACGAACAAAAAAAACGACGAAAAAACGATGAAAAGCACGAAGGAGGAGGAGGAGTCTATCACCAAGTAGTCGCCTCTGATCCGCCGTGCTCCGTACGCCGCACCGCGCCAACGCGTCATACGCCCGCGATTCCCGCCGAAACGCCGCGCCGTCGAGCCGTACACCCGTGAAACGCGGCAAACGCCCGCGAGACCCGCCGGCGCCATGATCTCCCTCTCCCGCCGTGTTGGAAACTGCTCACATCATGGCGAAGCAACGGCATCACGGTACCACGGCAGAGAGAAACGCGCATGCAACGAACAAACGACGGGAAAAACACGAAAAAAAAATACGACGAAAAAACGATGGAAAACACGAAGGAGAAGGATGAGGAGTCTATCACCAAGTAGTCGCCTCTGATCCGCCGTGCGCCATACGCCGCACCGCGCCAACGCGTCATACGCCCGCGAGACCCGCCGGCGCCATGAGCTCCCTCTCCCGCCGTGTTGAAAACTGCTCACATGGCGAAGCAACGGCATCACGGTACCACGGCAGCGAGAAACGCGGCACAAGCAACGAAAAAACGACGAGAAGAAAACGAAAAAAAACGACGAAAAAACGATGAAAAAGCGAGAAATAACACGAAGGAGAAGGAGGACGAAATCACCAACGTAGTCGCCTCTGATCCGCCGTGCGCCGTGCGCAGCGCCATACACCCGCCGCGGGTGATTCCCGTCGAAACGCCGCGCCGTCGCACGCCATACATCCGCGGGACACGCCAAATGCTCCGCCGACGCGCCATGCACCCGCGAGACGCGCTATAGACCGCACCAACGCGCGCTCTGTCTCCCTCCTTCTCACGCTCCTGCGGCACATCACTTAGGGACAAAACACAATAGGAAGAACGTTAGGTTCTTGAAAACAAAAGAAATAAACAGAATTGACGGCACTTACCAATTAAGGGAGATACTCCCTTCAATGCTCGGCGGCGTTGACGTTGACGTAGACGTTGACGTTGACGCCAGACGGGTCAGTAGGAAGCGAGAGGGGGCGGCGGAAGAGGGTATCCAGGCGGGGGCTGCCCTTCACCACCCTCTCCGCCACCCCCTGCCCCCCTCGCTCCCACATCCCCGCCGGTTCTTCCTTGAAATCTTCTTGGAAACTGCGCACATTGCGAAGCAACGGCATCACGGTACCGCGGCGGAGAGAAGACAAAAAATGGAAAGCGACGACGAGAAATGGAAGCGACAAAAACGTGGAGAACCAACGAGAGAAGCGCCGGGAGAAGCGCCGGGAGGAGCGCCGGGAGAACCGCCGGGGGAACCGCCGGGGGAACCGCCAGGAGAAGCGCCGCCGGGAAGCAAGCGGCATACGTCCGCAAGCGCCATGCGTCATCCGCCGTGCGCCATCCGCCGTGCGCCGTGCGCCATCCGCCGTGCGCCGTGCGCATGAAGAATTGCCACGCGACGTGCCATACACCCGTATGCCAATGCGCGGCCCATGCGACGCACCGGCGCAGCCGTGCGTCGCCGTCGCCGTTCTGCAGGAAGCGAGGAACACGTTAGAATAATTTCGTAAAAAAAAACTTGAAGAAATGTCGCGTTTAATGAAAACGAGGAAACACGTTGCCTCATACAGAGCGAGACGCTGCTGGTGAGGCATCAGCCGTCAGAGAATCCGCTTGCGACGTGAGACTCGCCGTCGCCGTCCGCCGTTTGCGACGTGCGAAGGCACTTCACCATTCGTCCCGCCGTGCGCCGTCGCCATGTTTTCGTCCCGCGGCCCTGCCGTGCGCCATGCGCCTGCAAGAAATCATTCAGGAAAAATATCAGTTAAGAAACCGCCGAGAGGAAGGAATAACAGAACGAAACGGTAAAGAAGGACTGTGCTTTCGAGAGACACGTTACCTCAACCCACGTGATTCGGCGCTGCTGGTCCGTCAGCCGTCGTCGAATGAAAGTCCGTCAGCCGTCGCCGTTCGTTTGCGACGCGAGCCATGTCGTCGCCGTCCGCATGCGACGTGAAAAACGCCATCGTTTGTCGTCAACGGCCTCGCCGTCCGTATAAGCTTTTGCGCGGCCGGAGAAACGGTCGGCGAGGTCTGCAGGAAGACAAGGACACACTTTAGTACTAGAAATGGGAAAAGAAAAAGAAAAGGACATAAAACAGAAGGATCTATCGACGAAATGCTCTTGAAAATCAACTCACCCCACTACCATCGGCGCATTCATGTCCACCGGCGAGTGCGACCGCGAGGCGTCCTCTCACATGCGAAAGCTCCGCAGGCGGCGAACTTGGCAGCGAAAGCTCCGCAATCATGACGGGGAAAGCTCCAGTCGGCGGCGAAATTTCCGCGATTACGACAGTCGGCGGCTAAGGTTCCGCGATTGCGACGGGAAAAGCTCCAGTCGGCGGTGAAGGTTTCTCGATTACGACAGTCGGCGGCTAAGGTTCCGCCATCACGACGGGGAAAGCTCCAGTCGGCGGTGAAAGTTCCGCGATTACGAAGGGGAAAGCTCCAGTCGGCGGCCTCCGCGATCACGACGGGAAAAGCTCCAGTCGGGGATCTTGAATGCTCCAGTCGGCGGGGAAAGCTCCAGTCGTCTGCAGGAAAACGAGGATCGAGTTAGAGCCACGTCTGACGAAAAAATCAAGTATAAAGCATTTGTAGGAGGAGTTGAAAGGTGCGGACTGATTCAGAGCTAACCGGCAAAAAACGGTTTAAGAACGAAGTTATAAACAACAGCTTACCTCCAATCGAGCGACGATGGAGGTTGCGCCAGCAGCCACTCGAGCCATCGGAGCGCCATCGGAGCGCCTTCATAGACTTCCAGGGCTTGAACTCCTCGGAACGGCGAGAGCTCGAGTCGGCGGTGAAAGCTCCGCGGCCACAACTTCGAAGCTCCGCGATTACGACGGCGAAGCTCGGCAACTACGACGGCGAGAGGTTCAGTCGACGGCAAGATGGTCCCCTGCAAGAGAACGAGGATATGCGTTAGAACTTGTCAAGAATAAAACATTTGCAGAAAGAAGTTAAAAACTGCATATTTATCAAAGGTTAACCAGCAAAATCGGCTCAAGAAAGATGTTGGGAAATACTGCTTACCTCACTTGAGCGACGGGAGATGCCGCGGAGCCGTTGGAGCGCCATCGCCGTCGGAGCGCAAGGGAAACCTCGCCATCAGAGCGTTATCGGAGCAACTTTCGGAGACTTCGAGGGAGATCGCGGCAGCAGGGAACCTCGGCGTGAATACTTTGCCGCATAGAAACTCCGGCCATTGAAGCTCGTGCAGTGGCGAGTTTTAGAACGGAGACCCCGTCGCGATGATTTCGCCGTGAAGGATCTTGGCGTGAAGATCACGTAGAGAACATCGCGCCGCGAAGAGATTGTAGCGGAGACCTCGCCGCGAGAAATCATGGCGTGAAGGTCTCGTAGACATAATCTCGCCCCGTTGAACTTGCGGAGGAGGTTTTTTAGATGTCGCGGTAAAGGGATTGCCGCGGAATTTTTGGAGTAGTACACGGTTCGGCACTAAGGCAGCAGCAGCTCGCTCAGACACTCTAATCTACCCAACCCACCCCACACCCATCTCATCTAATCTACTCGACCTCACGCTGCCACATGCCCTCGTGCTTCCCCATGTACTAGCCAGGAGGCTTCAGGTAAGCTGAGTTGATTTGCTCCGTGGAGCTTGTATCCTGAAGTCCGAATCGAGCTCATTGGGTTGGAGCTTTTCGAAATTCCTTCATTCAAATCAGGAAGGAATCAATCGGAAAAGAAGGTTGAGAATGAGACTTGGTAAGTTCTGAAGAAAGGGATGGGTTGATCGATGGAGTTGCCTGCAAAAGCAGACTGCTGCTGGATGAAAGAATTCGTTTGTTCAGTTTGGTATATGGCCGCCGCGCGATGCGTCTCAGCGCGGGGTCCACCCAAATGTGATGGCCCTTTAGACTCACATATCTGATTGCAGTGCGGTACAACACGGCGCGGTTCGTCTTGTGCTGGTTCATTGCGGGAATGAATGACACTCGGCTGGGTTGCGCGGTGCGGGGAAAGAAGCGATATGAATGGATGGACGGATGGTGGTGGAGTAGCTGCCGCAACGGTGACGATTTTGCCGTGCCATGTCATGCGGCTGTGCTTGTGACGGCTTGCGCGGTGGGGCCAGAAACTCCCCGCCTGGGAAATGTCAGGGGATTCTCTTGACGGGAGATTCTGAGCGGCGCTTCGAGAATGCTTGGGGTAACATTCGAGGCCCAAAATTTTGAGCTGACGTCATCCAGGTTCCACCCAAGCTGTACACTCCCTTCACAGGTTGGTAAGTTCTGTTTTGTTTGAATTCACAACGTTGGTTTTCCTTGTGCTGGTGCTAACGAGGTTACCCATGGCGCGTACATTGTGGGGTTGGTCTGCTGAGCAGCGCCGATTTGCAACAAGGGTCGGGCTAGGGCAGGCTAGAACTTTTTTAGGAGGCTGTAGACGTGGCACTTTTCTAACTAGATGAACTTTTGCGTGAGGTGCGGGACGGCGTTGGCGTGGTTATGAAGTTCGTGCGTGCCGCGGGAAGTTCAGCATTTTTTTCTAGGGTCAAATCTCGCGTTCCGTACTAGACCTGGGCAGTTGAAAAGATAAGGGGTGATCAATGTGATTTACGCGAGCCAATAGGGGATGACGTGCGTTTTTGTCACCCTCGCACAACCATCATCGCATTGAATCAACAACCCGAACCTCACAATATCCCACCTGCCATACCTAATTTCATTGTCCCGACCAACATTGTCTAGTTATAGTAGTTAGGGTGTGACTTACCTCAGTCCCGCCAGATCGAGTCAGCGAAAGTTAGTACTTCCGTCACCTTATTATTTCACCTGTGATTTACTAGTTTTTGGTTTGGTAGAATCAGAGCGCGATTATCAGTATTACGTGCAGCCTCGCGTCGTCTATCTACGAGTCATTGCTAGCACCTTAGCTAGTTTCAGTCGCGCTGTAAGTCGTACTCCGGTGTTTGCTGCTTCGAACGTATAGAGCCTTGAATTGTAGTATCAGATCTTAAGAATGTACTGTTAGTTGCGCGCTTGAGATGTTCGTATGCGGTCGGATTGATAACACCGATTTGTTGGAGGCTTGAAAAGTGGAGGTGCGAGTAGCGTCGACCTCGAGAGCGCGTCCGTAGCGTCGCGAAGGTTAGGCGACGGTAGCGAAGGTAAGGCGACGATAGCGTCGGTGGCGACGGTGGCGACGGTCGCGACGCGAAGGTCAGGTGTCCGAGGCGTCAGTGAGGGGACGGTAGCGTCGGCAGGTGACGACGCCAAGGTGCGTTAACCAGGCGCACTAGTCAAGGCGTCGCGCCTTAGAAGCAAACAAGAAGGGTGACCTGGTGGAGCGTGTTGACAGTCGGAATGGCCTATTTCCCGTCCCCCTCCTTCCCTCTTCCCTCCCCACCCCTTCCCCCCTCCCTCTCCCCTCCTTCCCCCCTCCCCACCCCCCCCCCCCCCCCCCTTCTTCCCCGCTCTTTCCCCCTTCCTTCCCCCTTCCCTCCCCCTTCCTTCCCCCTTCGTTCCCCCCTCCTTCCCCCCTCCTTTCCCCTCCGCCTCCCCTCTTCCGCTTGTCCCTCATTCCCCCCTGACCCTTTTTTCAGGAACATGAGAGGGTGGTTTGCTGCTGTGATCTGCAATGTGATATTGAAAGAAATCGCCGAGCGGACCTGAAGCTGGCTGCGCGTGACCTGGCGGAACGCGGTGACAGGCGGAGTGGCCGCTTCCCCCTTATTTTTCCCCCTTCCCATCCCCCCGCGTTCGTCCCCCTCCTTCCCCCTTCCTTCCCCCTTCCTTCCCCCTTCCTTCCCCCTCCTTCCCCCTTCCTTCCCCCTCCTTCCCCTCTCTCTCTTGTCCCTCATTTCCCCCTGCCCCCATAATGTCCCAGAAACGTTATGCACCCCTCATGACTTCAGCTCTCATGACTCCTGCTCTCATGACCCCGGCTCTCCCCTCATTTTCCTGCTCTCCCCTCGTCGTCCCCGCTCTCCTCTCATCGCCCCCGCTCTCCCCTCTTTTTCCTGCTTTCTCTTCCACTTCCTTCCCCCTTATCTCCATCCGCTGGCCCCTTGATCCCCCATCTCTCTCCCTCCCCGATTTTTCCTCCACCTCTTCACTCACCCTCATCTCTCCTCCCTATCTCCGCACTCCCCCCCATTCACCTTCCTACTCTTCTCTCCCCCCCCCAACCCTCCCCCCCCGAGTTGCAATATCAGCTGCAGCAGCATCTCGCGCTTACAATCTTCTACCCCGCATTTTCCTCCCCTCCCCTCTCCCCCCCACCCCCCACCCACCCCCCTCCCCCATTATTTCCCCTCATCTCCCTCACCCCACACCTACCTTCCCACAACCTAACCACCCCGCATCCACCCACGGCCTCCCATCACCTTTCCCTCACTCACTCCTCATATTCCGCCGCCCTCCCCTCACCTTCCCCTCTCACCTCCTCATCTCTCCCACTCACTCACCCCTCATCTCGTCCCAACCACTCGCCGCAAGTTATAGCAGCTTGCAGCGATCGAACCCCTTTCCACCAACACTAGCAGCATGCCATTTACCGTAACTCCTCTCTTGCCTGGTCTGGCACGTGGCTGCATTTGATTGGCTGGCAACAGGCGCTCCAGTTTCAGCTGTCAGTTAAGATCTATGGTCCGTATTGTTTTTTTGGAAACTGCTACTGTACTACAGTATGTGATGTTGAACCAGCACCTAGGCCGTTGTAATGGATTTTATGCTTGTATACTAGTCCTCCTCGCTCCACTCTCCCAGTGCGCATGCAGAGCGCATGGTGCCGGATCAGATGCTTGTCAACGCTCCCACCCTCCTCTGCTCCTCTGCTAGTCTTCCTCACTCCGCTCCCTCAGTGCACATGCAGAGCGCTTGGTGCCGGATCAGATGCGTGCCAACGCTCCCAACTTCCTCTGCTCCCCTGCTACTCATCCACGCCCCACTCTCTCAGTGTGCATGCAGAGCGCATGGTGCAGGCATGAACTGGAAAGTGGCTTTTCTGCCCATGCCATTAGACCGATGTCACTATACACATGAAACATCCTGTGGGTGACTGCAGCGTATATTCTGGACCATATTACCAGAAAGAGTTGAATCATACATTGTAGACTTACCGTCAGCCCCCGGATAGAAGCGCCCCTGGGGGTGTAAAAAAGCACTGTTTTTTAGGGGGTGCGCTTATATTTGAGGATTTTTATAAGCGCTGGGGCTTATATAATGACATATATGAAATCTAGTTTTTTTACACTAAAGTGTTCATCTCGTCCTTGCGATTTGAATCGAATCGATATTGTAGAGGACATCGAATGTGAATTTCGCGTAAATCGGCAGTGGCTGATTCCCTGCCAACACACACAGTCAGAATGAGTCAGATTGACCCCATGACAGCTCATTCTGACTGGACGTGAAGGCATTGAGTCACGCGAAGGGGAAGGGTTTCGAAATTCTGAATGTGGGGATGCAATATTGTGTTTCGTTACAGCGTTTCCAGTAAAAATATAAAAAAATATTACAGAGGGTGGCGCTTATAATCCGTAAGCCTTCAGGGGTGCGCTTATAATCGAGGACCGGATATAGGCGCCCTCATCCTTTTATAAGCGCCGGCGCTTATCCGAGGCCTGCGCTTCTATCCGGGGGCTTACGGTATAAGGTAGATGTTATGGTGTACTCTGTTGCAAAGGGGAATGCTAGGTGAGGTGCTTACAAACTGGCTGTACCAGAAACCCTGCTGCAGTTATACTGCCTATTTTCATAGCAGACATACTCAGCATCCTGACAGCTGCCATTTGCAGCTGCAATCCTAGAAGCAACTTGGATACCTCTCCTTCGCCTCCTTGTAACGTACAGCCCACCCTTTCACCCCTCCTCCCCTCCCCTCTGCTGCCCGTGGAGGCGAGAAGCTGTAACCTACTGCCATTCCCTCAGCCGTTTGCAATGGGAAAGAAGCACCAGCATCAGCACCAGCATCCGCTTCAGCATCAGCATCAGCATCCAATCACGGTCACATGGCTACCACCATCATAATCTCGGCTGCTTGCTCCTCGCTCTCTGTAGCGCCCTGCACTTTTGAGGCGCCCCTAGAGGCATCGACATCCAATCAATCAACATCACATATCTACCACCATCATAATCTCGGAAGCTTGCTCCTCGCTCACTGTAATCCCATTGGCTTCCAACGCCTCTACCCTCTGCACCCACACGGGCTTGTGCGATGGGAAGAAGGTGATTTGCGAGTACGCGCTGAATATCTTGTGGAATTTACCCGTGGGGCGGGCAGGCCAGTTTTCGACGAGGTACTTGGAGAGTTCGTACTCGCTTTCGAACTGGTTCTTGTTGTACTTGCACTCGGTTACAAAGTAACGCCCGAGATAGTTGGAGAATGTTCCAGCCCACTGTGAGACAACCAGAGGAGAAGTGGGAGAAGAGAGGTCGGGTGAGGAGGGAAGAGGGAAAGGAAGGAGCGTGAGGAGTACGTTAGATGCGGGTCATATAGACATGTGCAGCATAGGCGGCAGACGTGGGAGGGCCTTGCCGTGAGAGATTCAGTGATTCCTCTGCCGTGTAAAGTCACAAAGGTACAAGGAAGGTTCTGGGTTCCACAAAGTGATGTTGGGAATAAGGATAATGGGACGAGGACAGGGAAAATGGGAGAAGGACAGAGAAAAGGACGAGGCAAAAGAGGACAGGGGGTTAGGAAATGGAGTGAGGTTGAGGAGCTCTTTCATCTTCTAGGGTGTGATCAGGCCTCTCACCTCGTTATGGGCGATCTCGTGTTTCGGGTTCCACTCCCAGGGAGCCTTCTCGGGATGCCACTGCGACCCGTAGAACGGGAAATGCCTGCCCTCCACCGTCGACACGAACTGCGTGCCGTTGCGATCCTCGTCAACGGACAGAATGCGAAACACCTCGTGCGCTGGCGACGCGCGAAAGTCGTCGGGATGTACCCCCAGCCCGTGGTTGTTGAACGCGAGGTCCCCGAGGGGCGACGCGACCTGCTTGAAGAGCTCGTAGCTCATCCCGCCGAAGAGTCGCGACAGCCACCCGTCCGCGGTGAACCCGAGGTTGATGGCGAAATTCTCCGCGTCGACTTCGCGAATCCACGTCCCGTTCACGTCGTTGGCGAACAGCTGCGAAGTCGGGAACGAATGGGGGACATGGGAGGGATGGAATCTCGATATCAGTTGAAATCCTCGTCCATTACGGTTACTGGAGCACGCAAGCCAATGTAGCTGTTGTTTGTCAAACGTCGCACTGACTCGTAACATCCCACAAACCTGGAACATCGCAGTGACCTGGAACATCGCAATGACCCGGAAAATCGCACTGACCCGGAAAATCGCACTGACCCGGAAAATCGCACTGACCCGGAAAATCGCACTGACCCGGAAAATCGCACTGACCCGGAACGTCGCACTGACCCGGAACGTCGCACTGACCCGGAACGTCGCACTGACCCGGAACGTCGCACTGACCCGGAACGTCGCACTGACCCGGAACGTCGCACTGACCCGGAACGTCGCACTGACCCGGAACGTCGCACTGACCCGGAACGTCGCACGGACCTGGAACATGCGCTCGAAGCCGAGGCAAGTGCCCCAGAGCGGGTAGTAGTTGCCGTTGCTGTTCTCCTTGACGACGTGCTTCCACACGTACTCCGTCGTCGCCAGGTATTTTGAGCCCTCGGGATCCTCCTCCGTCGGATTGAAGTCCACCAGCCCTCCCGTCCAGAACACGCCGTTGATTCTGAACCACGCACGCACGCACGCACGCATCGGGCATTGAGGCAACTGTGAGGCGAGGAGAATGTGACGGAATTCTTATAAACTCTTCCTTCTTTGTTGACGGATCAGATTGACACGTTACTGATTATGACTAACACATTGGTCGATGCCAGCATATGTGATTGCGATCGCTTTGATCCGTGAAAGTGGTTGATGAGTTAGAAGTCCTAGAGAGCGGTCTAGCAAGTACCCGGGAAGAATTAATATTCATCAGCGGAGATGACTCAAGCAACGTTCACTTGATCTCACCTATTGAGGATGAAGTCGAGCTCCTCCTTGGTCGAGTCGTAGAAGATCGGCACCACGCGCGCGCCGCCAGCCTCGATCCATCGCTGGTACGACGTGGCGAACGACGACACGCCGATCTTCCGCTGCGACGGAACGGTGATCGGTAGAGTGAGCACGCCGACGACTGGCCGGTCCGTGAACTGATGCGGTGGCCGGATGTAGTTGTCCTGCTGCCCGCGCCTGGTGAGAATCGCTTCTGACGAGAATGAGCTTTCCAGCGCGAGTGTTGGGAGGGAGAGAAACCCGATCACCGTGATGAAAAGTAGGAGCTTCATGATTACTCGTTTACGTAAGGATTTCACCAGTTGGAGGCTTCTAAACCCGTAGTGGCTGGGATCCAGCCACTCCAATGGTTTCCTTGAACGAATCTTACAGCTGCAAAGGATCAAGATGCAACTTTGCCAAGGTGCTTCAAGCACTTCACGAGAACGAGAGCCGGTAAAAGGGCCTCAAGAAACCATCAATTAGGCGAATCTGGGGCTGCAACTGAAGTATGAATTCCAGATTCTTTCCTGCGGCTGAATTTGATTTATGACGGGGAATGCCGACGCGGGAGGAGGGACGCATCTGGGCGAAGGGATGAACCACAGATGCACCACGGCAATGTCGCCTGGAGATTCGACGGATGCGATTAATCAAGAAGTCGCACGATTTCATTGCGACTGCATATGAAACCAATCGTTGCGTTCGTGGTCAGGCTTGCACTTCGCAGGATGCTGTTGTCGCAGGGAGGGGCTGTCGCTGATGGGAGGGGGTTTCTGTTCCAGCTGGGCTTGGCGGATGACTGACCATCAGCGTCGAGAAGGGGCGGATTTTCCACGTGGTAGTACACGTGCTGTGAAGCGAAAGGCCCAGCAACGACGTGGCACTGAAGCTTTGGAGAGAGAATGCTCCCCAAGGTTCGCGGCGCCGAAATCAGCACCAGGACATGTCGCACAAGCCTGTCGCCGCCAACGTCACTGGGGCTGACCTGCCCCTTTGCTGATCAGTTTGACAGAAGTTGACGGAAATTCAGCAAACTCAGCGGCGCGCATGAAGAACTAGCGAAATTCAGGGAATTTGACCAATAAGAACAAATGGAAGTCAGCTTCTCCACAAATTATGGAGATCTGCTCCACCGCAGATTGTCAAAGTGTCCATAAGAACATCCCTTACGGGGTATAGCTGGTAAAGTATATCCTCCACACACAATGCTAACTGCTATTCAACAATATATCTATGATCATTATGTGCTCTTTTATCATGTGATCAGGCATTATTTAGATGAGGAGACGTGGATATTATATAGTAATTCAATATATATTTACGCAGTGAAGGATGTTTGCACAATAAAGAGGAGTAGAAGCTATTACGTGTATATCAGAGATATTTAGATTTAGCGCCAATACACCAATGCACTGCTTGGTCAAACCGTGAGCTGCTGAATGCCTGGGTTTGCCCTCCGTCAATCCAGCGGACTCCTGATGTGGGGATCAGGTGTGGTCAGTTCAGGTGGTCACAGATTTGACGGCACGGCAGCCTCAGATCCAGGTTCCTGCTTCGGACAGCAGATCTATAAAGCTAAGATGAGGCACATCCAGCCGTCCAATAAACTTGATCCGATGGTGGGTGGGATTGAGGTGCCGTGCCCCGTCAAATCTCCGTTCTGATGGATCTTCGATATCACTTCATCCCAAAAGGTTCTGTGTGTTTTCCAAATTTCCTAGTGCGGGACAGTGCGGTATTGTGCGGTTCTGTGCAAGGTAGAGTGGCCGGGTGAGATCAGATTCCGCTTTTTGCGCCATTCTTTGACCGACCAAACAAGGCCATCAGGATTCTCACAAATGAGAGCAATTATTGCTCTCCCCTAGCACACTTGTTCTTTGCTCAACAGGCTGGCTAATCCAAGCCAGGCATAGAAGCCAGTTTATTGTGGTCTTCTGTCACATAGGAAATTGTAGGGCTTACTTATATGCGACTCGCTCAGCATTATTCATGTCAGAGGCGATTACTGGAGTAATCGCAGAGACGTGGAACATGGAGACCACATTAGGCGAGACGTTCGTCGACATCTTTATTCCATTGTCGGCGGCTCTAGGCATAGCATTCGCTCTCTACCAATGGGGCGTCGTAAGCAGGGTGAAGCTAACAGCGCCGCTGAGCGTGTATGGCTTGGAGGATGGACAAGCGGATAACGTGGATCAGCAGATCGCGGAGATTCAATATGCCATTTCAACAGGTGCGTACGTCCGGAGAGATTAGGTACGTTTCAATATGTTCGTACGGCTGTGTAAATGTCTATGACGCTGGACTTGCTCCTGCGGTGCTCCTCGTCCGTACGGGTCAGCCGGTGCATAGGACATTTTTAAGGCCGAATAGGTGTGAATGTCTCATGACTTTTTGTCAGCAAAGGTCGCAGTTTACTGCTCCGTGTGGAAGGCCATTAACGTAACGCTACACAGCCTCTTATCCTCCGTGGTATTGCCAGGTCATTTAGCTGGGTGTTGCATGACGCTATAAAACATGTCACATCCCAGCATTTCCTTATGTAGAATACGAAAACAGAATGCGCGTGTACGTGTCGGCTAGTGCCCATTTTGCAAACCGCATTGAACGAAGCGCAATAGTCACCACCATTCTTTGTAGCCAGTCCGCTCATGGCGCTCATCAACGCCGGATTTGCGACATTTCATGCGTTTCATCGACACGTTACATCCCCGCGTTTCATCCATGCGGTCTCTCCGTGCCGCTTATCCACGTTCATTCGCATCATTCTCCCATGCCATCCGTCTCCTTCCCCTCTCTCCACCCAAAACTTCCACCCTTATTCTAGTCCTGATGATGTTTGTGTCTCCAGCGTTTGGTACCTGACATCGCTCGCAGCGTTCTTCCAGTGTTTCCCACCCACCTCGCTGCCCGTCCCCACCCTGTTCCGCCTCCCTCCTCATTCCCGCAGGAGCGACGTCGTTCCTAACAACGGAGTACAAGTACCTAGCGGCATTCATGGCGTTCTTCAGCGTCCTCGTCTTCCTCTTCCTCGGATCCGTCAACACCTTCAGCACGTCCTGGCAGCCCTGCGAGGACAACCCCTCGCAGCTCTGTGCGCCCTCGCTCGCCAACGCATTCTTCACAACTGTCGCCTTCATTCTCGGCGCGCTCACCTCGACGCTCTCCGGATACCTGGGAATGAAGATCGCCACCTGTACGTCACTTTACCTCGTTCCCTTCGATTTTCAATCTCTCGCTCACTCTGGCTCCACCTCATTTTCGCCGTTGCTCTCCAACGACTTGGTTACCACCGTCGCGCTTATTCTCGACGCCCTTGCATTGGCCATCTCGGGCAGTCTGGACGAAGATTATGCATGTTTTGACTTCTCTTCCCCCTTTGCCTTCCCTGTCCACCGCTTCCCATCTTTTCACTTGAGCTCCCACTTCACCGCTCACTCGTTTTCCGCTACCCCAAACGCCCGTCGTCCTCCTCCCTCCAGACGCCAATGCGCGCACCACAGTGGAGGCGTGGCGCGGAATCGGCCCAGCTTTCGTGGTGGCATTCCGCTCGGGCGCAGTAATGGGCTTCCTGCTGGCAGCCAACGGGCTGATCGTGCTCTTCATCACCATCGTTCTCTTCCGCCTCTACTACGGCAACGACTTCACCACTCCCTCCCTCTTTCCTCCTTCCCCAACACCCGCCGTTCCCCCCACACCACCAGACGCCAACGCGCGCACCACAGTGGAAGCCCGGCGCGGAATCGGTCCAGCGTTCGTCGTAGCCTTCCGCTCAGGCGCAGTGATGGGCTTCCTGCTCGCCGCCAACGGACTCAGCATGCTGTTCATCACCATCGTGCTCTTCCGCCTCTACTACGGCAACGACTTCACCGCTCCCCCGTTTTCCCCCTTTCCCCCCTTTCAACGTCCGCTGTTCCCCCACCCCCTCAGACGCCAATGCGCGCACCACAGTAGAAGCGCGGCGCGGAATCGGCCCAGCCTTTGTCGTAGCATTCCGCTCAGGAGCAGTGATGGGCTTCCTGCTCGCCGCCAACGGACTCATCGTGCTGTTCATCACCATCGTGCTCTTCCGTCTCTACTACGGCAACGACTGGGCGTCGCTCTTTGAGACCATCACGGGGTACGGGCTCGGCGGCTCCAGCGTCGCGCTCTTCGGGCGCGTGGGCGGGGGGATCTACACCAAGGCGGCGGACGTGGGCGCGGATCTGGTGGGGAAGGTGGAGCGGAACATTCCGGAAGACGACCCGAGGAACCCAGCTGTGAGTACCCCTGGTGGGTGGGTGTTTTGAGGCTCTAAAAGACATGTCTTGTAGGAGGTGGGAAAGAACGGCCTTCGTAAAACAAGCTGCGAACTGGCATGAGGAAGAAAGAATTTTGGGCATCCAACGTCCCCCCTCCACCCCCCCCCTTCCATGCTTTCCCACACGTGCTTCCTGTGCAGGTTATAGCGCACAACGTGGGTGACAACGTTGGGGGCATAGCAGGCATGGGGTCGGACCTCTTTGGCTCCACCCCTTGCACGCTTCACTCATTATTCTCTTCCCACTCTCCCGCTCGGACCTCTTTGGATCCTTCGCCGAGTCCAAGTGCGCGTCGCTCGTCATCGCGTCCATCTCCTCCCTGGGCCAGACGCACAACTTCACTCCTTCCCGCCCCTTCCACTCGCCACTCCTCATCTTCTCTTCCCACCCTGCCCTCCCACCCCATCTCCCCCCAACTCCTTCCTCCCGTTTGCTTGTTACAACCCCAGGTCATAGCGGACAACGTGGGCGACAACGTCGGTGACATCGCCGGCATGGGCTCGGACCTCTTCGGCTCGTTCGCCGAGTCCACGTGCGCAGCCCTCGTGATCGCGTCCATCTCGTCCCTGGGCCAGACGCACAACTTCACGGCCATGTGCTTCCCTCTCCTCGTGTCCGCGCTGGGCATCCTCGTGTGCCTCTTCACCACGCTCTTTGCCACCGACTGGTTCCACGTCACTGAGGCCCGCCACGTGGAGCCGCAGCTCAAGGCACAGCTGCTCATCAGCACCGTGCTCATGACGCCGCTCGTGCTGGGGCTGTGCTATCTCGCACTGCCGTCGTCGTTCACCATTGTGGTGGCGGGGGAGGAGGCGGACAAGACGGCGCAGAACTGGCAGATTTTTTTCTGTGTGGCCTCGGGGCTGTGGGGCGGGCTGCTTATTGGCTATGTCACCGAGTACTTCACCAGCCACGCCTATTCGTGAGTGTTGGGTGTTACAGTTTGAGCGATGATCGTTGCCTTCCCCAACTTCCCTCTCTCTATCCCTGCTCCAGCTCCCCACTCCTCATCCTCTCCCCGCCCAACAGCCTGGTAAGGGACGAGGAAAACTCGTGCTTGAGCGCAGCAACCAACGTCATGTTCAGGCTGACTCTGGGGTTACGTCATCGTGCCCATGTTCAGTATCCCGTTCTTCTGATTCCTCTATCCCCTCCCCCACCTTCCATCCCCCCATCCCCGCCTTCCCCCCGCCCCCCCCTTCTCCCCCGCTCCCCACCCTTCCCCCCCACTCCCCACCCTTCCCCCTGTCCCAACAGCCCTGTGAGGGACGTGGCAGACTCGTGCCGCACGGGAGCAGCAACCAACATCATCTTCGGGCTAGCCCTGGGCTACAAGTCCGTGATCATTCCCGTCTTCGCCATCGCAGTCGCCATCTACATCAGCTACGCCATCGCCGCCATGTACGGGGTCGCCCTGGCCGCCCTGGGCATGCTCTCCACGCTCGCTACTGGGCTTGCTATTGACGCGTATGGGCCGATCTCGGACAATGCCGGGGGGATTGCGGAGATGGCTGGGCTTGGGGCGGACGTGAGGGAGCGGACTGATGCGCTGGACTCTGCTGGGAACACAACTGCTGCCATTGGCAAGGTGCGTGTATGGGACAGAGTCACTGGCAAGGTGCGTACCTAGGAGGGAGTCACAGTGCCTTACCCCCTCTCATTACAGAGGGGCTTGGGGCGGATGCGAGGGAGAGGACGGATGCGCTGGACTCTGCTGGGAACACCACTGCTGCTATTGGCAAGGTGCGTGTATGAGAGTCGTAGTTCCTTGCCCTCATCTCGTTACCCCCTCCCAGTCTCACTACATATCCCCATCCCACTGCCCCACTCCCCTTTCACAGCACTTTTCCATCTTGGTACCACCACCCTCTCTCTCTGCTCCCTTCCAAACTCCCCCACACCTATCTTTCAATGCCAAACCTCTGTCTTCTCCCGCCTCCCCTTCTCCAATTTCCTGCAGGGATTTGCCATCGGGTCAGCAGCGCTGGTGTCACTGGCTCTGTTTGGAGCGTATGTGAGCCGCGCAGAGGTCACCAACATCCTCATCACCAACCCGCAGGTGCGTGAGGGGCACACATTGCTTCCCATAATGACTATGTGAGCCGTGCACAGGACACCAGCCCTCAGGTGCAAAGGGCTACACACCCTTCATTCACTGCTTAGGTTCCCGTCAAGACTATGTGAGCTGTGCGCAGGTCACCAACATCCTCATCACCAACCCTCAGGTGCGTTAGGGCCACACATCCCTCCACCCACCTCTGTACCTCTTCTCATACTAGCAGTTTCAGGGCTCAACCATGTTCTAAAACTCCTTGTCACCATCACGCAGGTCAGCATTGCGATAGAGTCCACGCAACCACGCACCCGTGCAGTCTAGTTCCCTCTCGCAAGAGCCTATGCATTAGCACCTATGTGGTCAGGCCCACAACATCAATGCTCTCACCACCGGGTCCATTCCCCCCATCATTCCCCCCTTCCCCTCTCCCCTCCCCACCTGCCCACCTCTCATTTTCCCCAGACATTTGTTGGCCTGCTAGTGGGTGCCATGCTGCCATACTGGTTCAGTGCCATGACCATGAAGAGCGTGGGCAAGGCGGCGCTAGCGATGGTGGACGAGGTGCGGCGGCAGTTTGACACCATCCCGGGCCTCATGGAGGGCACCGCCCGCCCCGACTACCGCAAGTGCGTGCAGATCTCCACCAAGGCCTCGCTCAATGAGATGCTGCCACCTGGCGCGCTCGTGCTCCTCGCACCGATCATCACAGGGGTTCTCTTCGGGACGGCAACGCTGGCAGGGCTCCTGGCAGGGGCGCTGGTGTCTGGGGTGCAGATGGCGGTGTCGGCGAGTAACACGGGCGGCGCGTGGGACAATGCGAAGAAATACATCGAAGCGGGGATGTCGGAGCACGCGCAGTCGCTGGGGCCCAAGGGGTCAGAGGCGCACAAGGCAGCGGTGATCGGGGATACTGTGGGTGATCCGCTCAAGGATACATCCGGGCCGTCACTGAACATTCTTATCAAGCTGATGGCCGTTGAATCGCTGGTGCTGGCCCCGTTCTTCGTGGCTCACGGTGGGCTCATTTGGGGCAAGGCTAAGTGATCGGGAGTACCCAAGGGGTCGGAGGCGCACAAGGCAGCGGTGATCGGGGATACTGTGGGGGACTTGCTCAAGGATACATCCGGGCCGTCGCTGAATATTCTCATCAAGCTGATGGCTGTTGAGTCGCTGGTGCTGGCGCCTTTCTTTGTGGCGCACGGCGGGCTCATTTGGGGCAAGTCCAAGTGAGGGGAGGGGAAGGGGCGGGGGGGGGGGGGGGGGGGGCAGTTTGGAGGGGCAGATCGGAGTGTGTCCTGGTTATATGGGGCATTTGGTCAATAAGATGGTTGTTGTTGAGTCGCTGGTGCTGGCGACCTTCGTTCTTGCTCACGGCGGGCTGATTTGGGGCAAGGCTAAGTGATTTCGAGTCTACTCTCATGTCACTGGTGCTAGTGGCAGCAGCACGACTGGTGCTGGTAGCCTGTGGCCGTAGTTGGCACATAAGGGGCAGCTCTGGGTGGGACTGTTCCAGTTAAATGAGAGCTTGGGGAAAGGCAGAGCAGAAATAGTCCTTGGTCAATTTTCAAGGCCCTAGGAGTGATAGTTTATTGCTGCATGTACGGGAATGGGGTTTTGTGTAGGTGATAGACGCGATGTGACTATGAGGGCAACCACTTGGAATAAATCAGGCATGTTACTGATATGCTAATCTAAGTTACAGAACGACTGTTCCTTCCTGCAAAGCCTATTGTTGAGATTTTACTGTCATATGAGCAAGTTTGACCAGCTGGCAAGGGAATGTAGCGCATGAGCACTCTAAATCTGTCACAGCTACTGACTGCAACCTAAAGGTGAGGCATGGAGATTCACAAAGGTTTTCCAGACACACGAGCAACTACCATAGGCAAAAACTGGTACAAGTCGTACAAGTCAATATCACACATCACATGCAATCAGTTTTCCATAGAACCCATTGGTTTCCGAATGAACCCACCCACCACATCAGTCAACCACAAATTACACTTTTATGCACAACTTCTCCCCTCATGCACAAGCCATCCTCCCCTCCCCTGACCTGCGTGGCAGTGGCGACACTGGCAGCCATGGCACAGGGGGTGTGACGCAGCCAACATGCACCATAGCACGGCTGCCATACCCATACATCCCCGGCTCACTGCCCATGCTCTTCTGCAACCCCGCCGCTCCCTGCTGGCCCCCTGCTCGCCCCCCTAGTCGCCTCGCCCCCCTGCTCGCCCCCCTAGTCGCCTCGCCCCCCTGCTCGCCCCCCTGCTCGGCCCCCTGCTAGCCCCCCCTGCTGCCCCCCTGCTCGCCCCCCTGCTCGCCTCCCTGCTCGCCCCCCTGCTCGCCTCCCTGCTCACCTTCCTGCTCGCCTCCCTGCTCTCCCCCCTGCTCTCTCCCCTGCTCGACCCCCTGCTCGCCTCCCTGCTCTCCCCCCTGCTCTCTCCCCTGCTCTCCCCCCTGCTCTCTCCCCTGCTCGCCTCCCTGCTCGCCCCCCTGCTCTCCCCCCTGCTCGCCCCCCTGCTCTCCCCCCTGCACGCCTCCCTGCCCGCCCCCCTGCTGTCCCCCTGCTGCACCCCTGCTCGACTTCCTGCTCGCCCCCCTGCTCGCCTCGCCCGCCTGCTCCTCCCCCCCAGACCTGCCTTCCTCATCTGCCCCTCTTCCTCTCTTCCTCCCCCCTCTCCTCGGCACTTTCCTGCTTTTATCATTCAGCCGCTTAATCTCTCCTTCCGAACCGTTTGACACGATTGCCACCACCTCCGCCCACTTCATGCCTTCGGGCTTCTTCCTAATCTGAGACACCACGGCGACCTGTGCAGGAGTAAGAAACTTGCAGGGTTCAGGGACTCCCACCCCGAAAACCAGCCGTGAAACTTCTGAGGCCATGCCAGCCTTGTCGTGGTACTCGAAATGACCCACTTCTTGCCGTTAATTATTTGCATCCCATATTCTTATCCTATACGGTTTGAGCTCGTACGTGCACCCGACAATACCACCGAAACCCTTTCCCTCATCTTCTCCAACCCCCTCCAACCCCCTCTCCCCCTCCTCCTCTCCCTCCTCCTCTCCCTCCCCCTTCCTCGACTCCTCCGCCTCCCCCTCCCCCTCCCCTCCCTTCCCCCCATCTCCTGCCCCGACTGGCGGAACCGGGTATCTCAGGTTCCTAAACACCTGGAGAGAGAGAGAGAGAGAGAGAGAGAGAGAGAGAGAGAGAGAGAGAGAGAGAGAGAGAGAGAGAGAGAGAGAGAGAGAGAGAGAGAAGGGGAAGAATGGGATGGGAGAATGGCAGTGACTGCTGTTGACCCACTCCATCATGGCCCACTTCCCTCGCTCCTTCCTTACACCAAGTTTCTTTTAACCGCCAGCGGGCAGCCATGACAGCGCCCAACAAATCAGCAAGTGACATTCGAGTCAACTCTATAAACCTTCCTCACCCCCCTCTTCCCTCCTCTCCACCCTCCCTCCCCCACGACAGGTTTCTTCGACCGCCAGAGGGCAGCCATAACAGCCTCAATGGCAGACAGGGCAGCAGAGCTGGCCCCGGCCCCTCAAGGTGCCTCCGCCCCTCTTCGCTCGCTGGCTCCCCAGTGAATTTGGGGGCAAGGGGCAGCAGGTGCGTGACCACACCACACCTCTTACAGCATGACATACCGCACCAGTTACAGCGTGACATACCACACCAGTTACAGCGTGACATACCACACCAGTTACATTGTGACATACCACACCAGTTACAGCGTGACATACCACACCAGTTACATTGTGACATACCACACCAGTTACAGCGTGACATACCACACCAGTTACAGCGTGACATACCACACCAGTTACATTGTGACATACCACACCAGTTACAGCGTGACATACCACACCAGTTACCTTGTGACATACCACACCAGTTACAGCGTGACATACCACACCAGTTACAGCGTGACATACCACACCAGTTACATTGTGATATACCACACCAGTTACAGCGTGACATACCACAACAGTTACATTGTGACATACCACACCAGTTACAGCGTGACATACCACACCAGTTACAGCGTGACATACCACACCAGTTACATTGTGACATACCACACCAGTTACAGCGTGACATACCACACCAGTTACAGCGTGACATACCACACCAGTTACAGCGTGACATACCACACCAGTTACAGCGTGACATACCACACCAGTTACATTGTGACATACCACACTAGTTACAGCGTGACATACCACACCAGTTACATTGTGACATACCATACCAGTTACAGCGTGACATATCACACCAGTTACAGCGTGACATACCACACCAGTTACAGCGTGACATACCACACCAGTTACAGCGGCCGTTGCCTTGAGAAACTACAATATAGTTCTTGCTTTTGACTTACAAGTTCCAGTCCCCCAGAGGCTTGGGTGCTGGGTGGGTTGGGTGGGTGCTGGGTGGGTGCTGGGTGGGTGCTGGGTGGGTCCGGGGTGGGTGCTGGTAGTGACTGCTGTTGAAGAACACGCACACGCGTGATTAGTGGTAGATTCCTTTAGCCCGCCCGCCACCCTTTCCCCCCCTCCTGAGCCTACCTTTCGAAAGTGGTCTCGCTCCGCAATCAATGCCCTGATCTCAGCGTTCTTCTGCTCCAATCAAATATCTATCTCTCCCCCTTCCACTCCCCCTGCAACTCCCCCACCCCCTTCCCCTCCAACCTCCTCTCCCCCTCCTCCTCCCCCTCCCCCTCCCTGTCCCCCCTCTCCTGCCCCTTCGTCTTTGCCATACTCTTCCTGCTCCTCTCCCCCTTCCTCTCCCCGCCTTCCTCACCTTTCCGTTTCCTCCCCCCCTGCCCCTGCCCTTGCCCCTTCGGCCCCATCCTGCTCGCTGCCCTCCTCCACATCTTTCATTTCCGGCTACTCGCGGAATGAGAGGCGCCGGTGCCCTGAGTGCTGCGCCAGGAGCTCAGCATGCCTCTCTGACTGCTCAGCACGTGAGACAGGAGAACCAGGAAAAGTGCTGCTGGGGGTAAAGAACCCAGTAGAACGCCGTCTAAAGTTGCTGCTGGGGGTAAGGAACTCAGTAGAAGGCTTTTCGTTGTCGCTCATGGTGCTGCTGGAGTTGCCGTTGGCGCAAGTGTTGCTGTTGGCGCCGCTGGTACTGCGGGTGCTGCGGCTGGTGGTGGAGTTTGCACTGCTGCAGATAGCTGGAGCAAGGGGAGCGGCAGAATGGTTGCAATCTGCAGGGCAGAGAGGTATAGGGTATGGTGTGCATGCGGCAGGATGCAAAGAATCATGGGCAGATTAGGATAAAGTGTAAAAAACACTCAAAATGTGCACCAGGCACCATGCGCCATGCACCATGGCTGCCTCCATGAATCGCGTCTGACAAATCAAGCTAGGGAAGTGTAACTTTTCGCGTTTCCTTCCAGAAGCTTGTCCTCGTCTGTCTTCCCATGCTTGTCCTCTCGCCTCTCGCCCTCTTTCCTCACACCCTCGCTCGTCTCTCTCAGGTGGCGGTGCAGGGTAGCAGTGCGGACCAGTCTCTGTCGCTCTCAGCAGCGCGACAAGGGGGAGCTGGAGCAGTGGCGGTCAAGGGGGAGCTGGAGCAGTGGCGGTCAAGCCTAATGTCAACCCAGGTGTGTGCAATGCCATGTCCATGCCCCACACCCCACCATGCCCCACACCCCACCATGCCATGACATGCCCCTCCCACACCACCCAGCCCTGCAGGCCTGCCAGCCACCCCGCCCAGCCCCAGCCCCAGCCCCAGCCACGCCACGCCACGCCACGCTGTTCCCACCCCATCCAGCCCCAGCCCCTGCCACGCAAAGCCAAGCCATGCCATGCTTGCACACCATAGCGTGCAGCAGACCCCGACAGACGTACCCGAGGCGATATGTTCGTAGAGCAAGGCAAAATGTTCGTAGAGCAAGGCGAAATGTTCGTAGAGCAAGGCGATATGTTCGTAGAGCAAGGCGATATGTTCGTAGAGCAAGGCGATATGTTCGTAGAGCAAGGCGATATGTTCGTAGAGCAAGGCGATATGTTCGTAGAGCAAGGCGATATGTTCGTAGAGCAAGGCGATATGTTTGTAGAGCAAGGCGATATGTTCTTAGAGCAAGGCGATATGTTCGTAGAGCCTATGACGCACTGACGCACGCACACGCGCACTGACACACGCACGCGTGCACTGACACACGCACGCACGCACTGACGCACGCACGCACACACTGACGCACACACGCACCGAAGCACGCACTGACGCATGAACGCACGCACTGACGCACACACGCATGCACTGACACACACACGCATGCACTCACTGACGCACGCACGCACTGACGCCAGTGAGAGAGAAATGGTAGCATGGTGACACAATGATACATCACATCATAACAGCGCCACCGCAATCCTAGCAGTGTTTTGAGTGGACTCAAAACACACCAGGTCCGCCACCGAGCAAGACATGGTAGCACGGTGACGCAATGATGCATACATCATAGCAGCGTCACAGCAATCCTAGCAGCGTCACAGCAATCCTAGCGGCACGAGCTTACCACTGGGAAATTCGTTCAGACTGACTCCAGCAGTCTGGTGTAATGGAGGCAGGTACATGGTCAGGGGGGGGAAGGGAAAGAGAGAATGGGTGAATACGGGCGATTAGACTTCGACTTGTGGAAGGGAGGCAAGTACAGGGCCAGGGAGCAGAGTGGAAGAGAGCATGGGCGAATAGGGACGACCAGGCAGTGACTATCTTATGCTGATGCATCAAAAGAGTTCAGGGTGAAAAAGGTTAGGGGAAGAAAGACCGGATATAAGTGCGATTAGAGTACTGTTGCTTACAGACTCGAATCAATTTTTCGGAGCAGATATGCTGATTATTGTTGACTCTTCACCTTCCCTTGTCCCCCTCTCAGCAGGCAAATGAGGCATATCAGCATATCTCGCCCCTCCCTGTGTTCACTCTCCCCTCTCCCTCCCCCTCCCATCTCCCTCTCATCTTCCTGACCATCTTCCTCCCTCCCCTTCTCCCCAACCTGTCGCCTACCTTCTTTTACTTAATCTCCTCCTATGTGTATTCAGCTGCCTGTGAACACTGACCGCAGGTCTACAGTGGTGGTTGGGGGGGGTGTGAGGGGATGGGATGGAAAAAGGAGAATTAAGGTTAAAGAACCGGCAGGGTGAGAGTCCCCGCCTATGTGTATTCTGCTGCCTGTAAACACTGTCCGCACGCACGCACCCACAAACTGATGCACGCACCCACGCACTGACGCACTCACGCACGCACGCACTGACACACTCACGCATGCCCTAACGCACGCACGCACGCATGCACTGACGCACGCATGCATGCACCTACGCACGCACGCATGCACTCACTGACAAACGCACGCACACAATGACGCACGCACGCACACACTGACGCACGCACGCATGCACTGACGCACGCACGCACGCACTGACGCACGCACGCACGCACTGACGCATGCGCGCATGCACTGACGCACGCACGCATGCACTGACGCACGCACTGACGCACGCACGCATGGGCTGACGCACTGACGCATGCACTGACGTACGCACGCATGCACTGACACACGCATGCATGCACCAACGCATGAACGCATTCACTCACTGACGCACGCACGCACTGACGCACGCACGCATGCACTGACGCACTGACGCATGCTAATGGTAATGGTAATGGTAATGGTAATGATAGTGGTAATGGTAATGGTAATGGTTATGGTAATGCTAATGGCAATGGTAATGGTAATGGTAATGATAGTGGTAATGGTAATGCTAATGGTAATGATAGTGGTAATGGCAACTCTAATGGTAATGGTAATGGTAATGGTAATGGTAATGGTAATGGTAATGGTAATGGTAATGGTAATGATAGTGGTAATGGTAATGGTAACGGTAATGGTAATCGTAATGGTAATGGTAATAGTTATGGTTATGCTAATGGTAATGATAATGCTAATGGTAATGGTAATGGTAATGCCAATAGTAATGGTAGTGCTAATGGCAATGGTAATAGTAATGGTAATGGTAATGCTAATGGGAATGGTAATGGTAATGGTAATGGTAATGGTAATGGTAATGATAGTGGTAATGGTAACGGTAATGGTAATGGTAATGCTAATGGGAATGGTAATGGTAATGGTAATGATAGTGGTAATGGTAATGGTAATGGTAATGGTAATGGTAATGGTAATGGTAATGATAATGGTAATGCTAATGGTAATGGTAATGGTAATGATAGTAGTAATGGTAATGGTAATGGTAGTGGTAATGGTAATGGTGATGCTAATGGTAATGGTAATGGTAATGATAGTGGTAATGGTAATGCTAATGGGAATGGTAATGGTAATGGTAATGATAGTGGTAATGGTAATGGTAATAGTAATGGTAATGGTAATGGTAATGGTAATCGTAATGGTAATGGTAATGCTAATGGTAATGGCAATGGTAATGGTAATGCTAATGGTAATGGTAATGGTAATGGTAATGGTAATGGTAATGGTAATGCTAATGTTAATGGAAATGGTAATGCTAATGGTAATGGTAACGGTAATGGTAATGCTAATGCTAATAGTAATGGTAATGGTTATGGTTATGCTAATGGTAATGATAATGCTAATGGTAATGGTAATGGTAATGCCAATGGTAATGGTAATGGTAATGGTAATGGTAATGCTAATGGTAATGGTAATGGTAATGCTAATGGGAATGGGAATGCTAATGGTAATGGTAATGGTAATACTAATGCTAATGCTAATGGTAATGGCAATGGTAATGCTAATGGTAATGGTAATGGTAATGGTAATGCTAATGGTAATGGTAATGGTAATGGTAATGATAATGGTTATGGTAATGGTAATGGTAATGCTAATGCTAATGTTAATGATAATGGCAATGCTAATGGTAATGGTAACGGTAATGGTAATGCTAATGGTAATGGAAATGGTAATGGTAATGGTTATGGTTATGCTAATGGTAATGATAATGGTAATGGTAATGGTAATGGTTATGGTAATGGTAATGGTAATGGTAATGGTAATACTAATGGTAATGGTAATGGTAATGGTAATGGTAATGGTAATGGTAATGGTTATGGTTATGCTAATGGTAATGATCATGCTAATGGTAATGGTAATAGAAATGCCAATGGTAATGGTAAGGGTAATGGTAATGCTGGTGGTAATGGTACTGGTAATGGTAATGGTGATGCTATAGGGAATGGTAATGGTAATGGTAAGGATAGTGGTAATGGTAATGGTAATGGTAATGGTAATGGTAATGGTAATAGCAATGGTAATAGTAATGGTAATGGTAATGGTTATGGTAATGCTAATGGTAATGGTAATGGTAATGGTAATGGTAATGGTAATGGTAATGGTAATGGTAATGGTAATGGTAATGGTAATGATAGTGGTAATGGCAATGGTAATGGTAATGGCAATGGTAATGGTAATGATAGTGGTAATGGTAATTGTAATGGTAATGATAGTGTCAGAATGTTATTATCTAGCCTGTAGTGGGGTGCTCTATAGCGAGTACAACCCTGTTAGGGTTTGCTATATGTATCCCAACTACTGCTAGTGAAACCCCTCCTTTCTTCATTTCTGTTTCTCACTGCTAGTTTCTGACATGCTATCAGAGCAGGTCGACCCCCTTGGGTCGATCCTGTGGGTGGGCCCACCACCTAATGCTTCCGCTGCTGTTCTACTTGTCGCGCGCCTCGGTCGCGCGACGCCTCCTTCCTGCCTCGCGCGGCGAAATTTTTTTAGGGTTTTCATCCCGCCGTGCGCTCGGGGCGCGCGGAGGTTTTCTGCCCGCCGTGCGCCCCGAGGCGCGCGGCGGTTTCCTACCATGGGGGACCCGCGCACGCCCCCGCCCTGTCCGTCGCGGCGCCCTGGGGG